TGTGTGACAGGATGGTTATGATAATGGCGAGTAAAAGGGAATGTGGGGGGAGGTACAGGTATGTAACGTAGTCGAGGGAAAAGACAACTCTGTGCGTTCAAGAGGCAGAACCAAAACAGAAGTGTCAAAGTTTGAAAAAGTGATTAAAAAAACACAGAAACAGGGAAGAAATATGACGGAGGTGCAGACAGATACAAAGACAAAGAGCGTGTTTGTTGTCAAGACGCCGGTGTCCTTTCCAAGGACAAGCAGGCATGCAACAACCGTCATGTGAGGAGGAGGAGACCCCACCTCCTCCTCCTCCTCTTCCTTTGAATTCAACTCCACCCTCCTCAACTTTCACCGGGCCCTCCTTTTCTTTCAGTTTTTCAAAGTTAGAGCCGATTGAAAAAGTGAGGAAACGGCTGCAAAGACGCAGCTCAGAAGTGGCGAATGTAAAAAGTTGTCCTACGACCTGAAAAAGACGTGTTTGGCAAAAATTTAGAACAATGTCTCCTCAACTTTTCCTCCATTTTTAATCGCAACATATCACAACATATATAGACACTTAAACTCAGCCATGTAACGTCATAAAAAGCTTGAACAAGTAGGGTATACATGTCAAACTCTGTGTTTTTCCATCCCCACAAGCCGCAGCTCTTTATCTCCGCTAGTCTGAGGAGTTACCGCTGACTCAAGGACCTTTGACCCAGTTAGTCAGAGTACGTCTTATATGTGCGGTCAGTACTGGGAAGTAAGTTCTCAGTTTAGCTTGTTCTGCAGTTTACCGGCAGCGCTCTTATTTTGAAATCCAGTGAACCAGAGCTCTGATTCCAGTGACGTGAGCGCTGCATGACCAGTGAAGGGAGGCTGAGAGGGACAAAATCACTCACTGGGAAGTTATGTACGATTTCGAAACATCCTCCTTTATTATATTTCTCACACTTTACATTTTTTTCTACTTTTTTTATTTTCATGATGTTTTAATTGAGCGCTTGTATTGCAATACACAACAGCTCCTTCAGATACACACGTTTGCAGTCATTTTCAGCGTCTCTATCACAACAAAACGACCATAAATATAATGTCGGGTTTCCAGGCAGTAATTACAGGTTGTTTTGTTTTGTTAGGCTCAGTCAAAATGAGTAAGCAGCAGCCTGTTTAAAATGATGACAGGTCATAATGATACCTTTCTGTATAAAGTAGCACTTGAGCTCCTAGAAGCTGAGTGTTGATTTTTCTGATAACAGTGTTAGTGCAGCAGAAGACAGATTTCCAAACCGCAAGCAATTAAGCAACGCCTTCGCCTTATCAGGAGCCTCGAAGTTCATGACCCCGTATCAATCTGCAATATTTGACGGTCATTTCAACACATTCCCCTCACACTATACTCATGATCATTTGGCCCGAGTCTGACTCCAAAACAGACACGACAGGAAAAGACAGCGTGATTGATTCGAGTGCCTCTGAGCCCTGGGAACTGGGACAAATAGGGAGCGAGTTTTAAGTCCAGTTTTTCAGCTTTTATTTGAACTTAGTTGCAGATGAAGTCGCTGAAATGTCAAGGTAGACTTGGATTGATCCCAAAAAAGAAAGATTGAAAAATGGATGTAATGCACCTTTAGACACTGGCTGAAAAGGATGTTGGAAGGGAGCTTAAAAACAGCTGTAAATATTGAAGTGTTGACAAACAGATTATTCACATGTTCAGAAAAATGGATTTATCGCATTAGTTTGTCACAAACTGGACTCGTAAAAGACATGCTAACACTGCCTGGCCAAAGAAATGGTCACTTGGTCTAAAATTTCATTGGAGAGTCCGTCAAGTTCTCCAGCACACCCCAAAGATTTTCATCAGGGTTCGGGTCTGGACTCTGTGGTAGTCGTCGATGGACTTACCTGGTCATTGAGTTTACTCAGGTAGTCAGCTGACCTCCTTCCTTGGGCACTTAACCAACTCCTGCAACCCCGGATCTTATGCTGCGTTCCAGTTAACTCGGAAATCGGATATCAGAGCTGGGAATGACGTTACACCTGAGTTGAAGGCGTTCCAGGAAACAAGTCGGAAAACCAAGATGTACGCCTACTTTTAGCCATTGTCAGCTGTCATTAGCCGTTGTCAGCTATACCAGTTGTAAACAATGCATGACATAGTATTTTACTCTATAATTATGAGAGCTTTCGCTGTTACTCTTAATGCGCAGCAATCTTGGATTATGACGTTGTCGTCAAGTCGGGGTTGGTTGAAGATCGTCCAACTTTCCGAGTCGGAAATCCGACTTCAGGTGGGTGTTCCAGATGAAATTCCAACTCGGAGCTCAGAAATCCTGACTTCTGAGTACAACTGGAACCAGGGCTCGACAGTGCGACCGTTTCACTCACATTTGTGACTTAAAATAGATGTGTGTGAATTGTAAAATGTACGCATACCAAAAATTAGCTGAGCCCACTAAACATCAGACGTCGAAAGGACATGCAGATCAAGGAAATAGATGTCATTTTAACATCGCATTGCACAGCGGGAGGCAAACAAATGCTTTTTTCATGTAAATACGGCGGTGAAGTTAGTTTTGGGTTGGATATTCGACAGACGTTTACTGCGGATCTACCAGTGTCTTCTCACTCTACATAACCGGGAATAGCAACCACAGCGCGGTTAAATCTACTCCTCGCTGTTAACGGCGGGTGTTGAATAAGGGACCGTCAATAAATTACCGGTTGATGTTCTCAAAAACAGCAGTTTTCCTTCAATAGCTTCCATGTCATGTGACAAAAAGACCTCAAATTGATTTCAAATAAGACAAACATTATTTGATCAATTTTCATTGTGCCCCTCAAGTTCTTTGTGTTAGTGTCAAGCCCTGTGGAACGCAGCATTCGTCATGGATCTTGTACAAGCGGCACTTTGCATGATGGGTGCATCACTTCATCCACCTCTCTACTGAAACTTGCCCACATGTTCTGCACATGCTCTCCAGTTCGCATGCCCGGGTTCGACCTAGAGGATGAATAGCATTTCTAGGTTGTAAACAAAACCTCCATGAAACAATCACGAAGACTCATGGCATCTCATAATACAGCTGGTCTACTTTCCTCATCTAAAGATAGCACACTAGCCGACACGTCTTGTTGTCCTAAGCCCAAACCACAGTTTTTCTTTCCCCGCCTGTTGTTAGTACAGTTGGCGTAGCTCGAGCAGAAGTGTCAGATTGTCCCGGATCTTCTATCTTTAGAAAATCTAACCCCTCGAGAAGGAAATCTCTAAAACAATATTCACACTCTGGGCTGTTTCGGTGTTTGTGTGTGTTTGTTAGCGGGCTTTCATTTGCCTATGCTTTGGTGTACACAGTGCAGTATGTGTGTGTTTGTGTGAGAGACAGAGCGAGCAGAGACAGTGGCTCTTTGTTGCAGTTGCCAGGGCTTTGGATCAGGCGGGCTGGCAGTGCCTACAGCCACTCTGTTCTTTCTTTATCCTCTCATTCACTCGCGCACTCTAGTTTCTCTATGCGGCTGTAATTCTCCTCTGCAAAATTATGAGGAAACCCAAACTATAGGGTTACATATCCACTGCACAAAAGATGATATGTTTTAGAGGAAAGGTTCAAGATGAAAACTGAGACGAGCCTTCAGGTGTGATATGAAGCCTCTTTATTTGCTGCTTGACCTAAATACGACATACAAGTTCTTATGTCTGAGCATCTTCAAGACATTTCGTTAGCTGTAGATGTCTATTTGAAGAGCTTTTAGGGGATATTTTTTGTAAAAAGGTGTCTTTTAAATAGCAGTAATACTCAAAGTTTAGTGTTTTCTTAATTAACAATCAAAGAAAGAAATAAAAGCTTCAATAATCAAGTTTAAAAAAAATGAAGGTTGTTTCCGTCTCTTCTTTAATCCTCTCTCCGTATCTCTTTCTCATTTCTCTAATTGCGGCCGTAATCCTTCGCCAGATTAAAGAGATGTGCCGGGTCTGTGTGCAATCCTTTGTGTGTGTGTGTGTGGTCTGAATGAAGGATGCATGGGTGCTCTCATAGATTACACGATCCCCGTCATCATCACAGGGGTTGAAACTGACAAGAATCCAAATCCAATTTAGTCCCCCGTCGACATTTACTCGCACAAGGGCTGTGAGCTGGCAGCTGGTGAAACTACTCGAACCGACCGCTGAGCATCTCCTGTAACGTTTCTTTGTTTGTGTAGACGATTCAAGTTTGACATGTCGGCTGTCACTTCTCAAACGATCATGTATTTAGTCATTTTAACATCATTTGTCTTGTCTGATTTCATGAATCCTGCCTCCTCTCTCTTTAATTTAGGGTTGGCCTGGAAGCAATGGAGTTTCTGGCAAATGTTTAGACCTAAAAATAGCCTCACTTTCTCTTTTGTGTCTCTCTGTGTTTCTCTCTTTTCTGCAGAGCCCGGTCTGGTTGTCTTTCGCCTCAGTTCTGTGTATTTACATTTCTGTTAATTTAACCAGAATATTTTTATCTTGTTTATCTGCGTTTCCAAGTAAGGCCTTGCCTCAACAAGATAAATTTAGTTTTATAGAAGTCAGAAGAACACAAGAGTTTTTCTTCTCAGGGAGGCTTGCATAAGAATAAATGAAGGTTTCATTTTCTGGATGTGGTTTTTAGCTCATTATGGGATAAATCTGAATAGATTCTCTATTGTTGTGTTTTGCCAGAGAAAAGCCTCCGAAATGAGAGCAGGGACCGCTGCCAAAGTTTGACTGGAAACTTTCAAAAACAGAGAAAAATGAGCCACTTAGCATCTCCAGCCAGAGGTATTTCTTCGGTACATCTGCAGAGGTTTGGTTAGGGCAGGGCTGGTAAACTAAACCGAAAATTTACGGCTATAACCAACGTCATTTTGTCCATGTCAATATATTCAGTGACAAAAAGTAAATGAATAAAAGTTGGTTTTGGATGTGTGTGGGTAGGCTATGGTCTCATGTCCCTTTAAGACGTGCTTCACCCCATTCAGTCTGTAACAAAGAGGAGATGGAGGACGGTTCAAAAGTTGTAGGGGTGAGCAGCTTGTGGAGTTCTCGTCCATTTATCATTATTTAGATGAACTGCTCAATCCATCGTGATATTGATTTGAGGCCATATCGCCCAGCCTTGAGTTTGGTAATCCACTGGACTCGTGGCCGTCATGAATACTGTCATCAAAAGCAATCAATGACTAAGGAATAGTTCGTCAAGTCAAATAAGTTTGATTATAAAGCTCCTTTAAAAAGACAGCAGTCAATCAAAGTGCAGTACAAAGGAGGAATAAAAGAAGTTATTAAACAGAGTACAATAAAATACAGACAGTAAAAGAATAAAAGCATCAGTTCCTATGATTTTCGTTTGTTCATTTATGAAAAGGATGATATTAAAGTCTCTAGGTGAGGTTCCAATCTGGCCGAGGAGACTGTTCCAGAGTCTAGGGGTCACCTCTAGACTACAGTTTAGTTTTGGGGATGTCCAACAGCAGCTGGTCTGAGGACCTCTTTTACCCGGACATGTCCTCTTTTGGGGGGATGTCTGGCTTTGTCCAGGGGGACTTTATGAAATCCGTCAAATGTTTTGTGTGGAAGTTTTGAGTTTGTGTAGCATGGATTAACTTAAAAAAAAACACTCGACCCGACTCAAAAACCACTCAAAAATTACAACGCGCGACCCCGCCCCACGTAGTAGTGTCCTCCTCTTAGGGATTCAGAATATGGTCACCCTAGCATACAAGTAGTTACAGTAATCTATTCGTGATGTAATAAATGCATGGATTGTTTTTTCAAGATCAGCCCTTGAAAACAAATATTTAGCCTTTGCGAAAATACGGAGCTGGAAAAATCTTGTTATAGCGAGGAACAGTTAAATGAAGTCGTGGTTTTAACGGTAAACTACTGTTGAGTTTTGGTCCTAGAGTTCTTCTTCTGAAAAAATCAATGGTAGAATACTTTGCTGTGTTTGTGCCGCTGACTTTAGCGAGTTTAATTCTTCTTGGACAAAGCATTATTCTGCTGCGCTGGCCGTCATCTTCTCATTCGCTGGTTCGACTCCAAAAAAATCGTCATTCTTTAACAACCAGTGATACAGTATGACCTGATGTCATGAACTCACAAAACGTCCAGGCTCTTTATCTGACCTCAGCTCGCTGTAGATACGAGCTGAGAGGTCCTCCAAGTGTGGGGAGGCAAACTTTTTGTGCTTTCGCTGTCCTTATCAGTCTCACCAGGCCGGTCGAGAGCGAACTGTTTTCTCTTTCTGTCGTCACCTTTATCAGTGTTTGTTTTTTTTGACATATTTTCTAAAGGAAGGATGTCAAACCTTGGCCCAGATCTCCTCGGAGACAAAGGATCGAGAACATGATGTTCAGTAGCCATTATAGAGGAATGGAAGTTGAAACTTGGAAGAGTGTTTGCAGACTCCATTAGGTCCCACTTAATGGATTGGGTGAAGAGGCCGTTTTTATTTACCCATCAAACCCAAAGAGAGTGATTTCGAGATTTCAAACCACACATACTGAAGTGGGCTGGAGGTTGAGTAGTGTGAGTCAACAGAGAGATTCCTCTTCTTTCCCTCGGAGCGATGATTGAGCCCGACACAAACACCTGTGTGGGGAATTTGTAGCAGGTGTGTGAATATTCTTCTGGGACGTCTTATTCTCTCTCTGTGGAAATTATAAGAGATTTCTATCTCTAAGACTGCATTTGCACGTGCCCGGCTATTTTCATAAATGGTCATTTCACCCTCCACATTTACAAACTACAGTTTCAGAAAAGTTTTTGTTTACACTAACCTGTGTATATGCCTTCAAGAGCATGCTAAACCTGTAGCAAGAAGCCCAAGCCCACGTTAGCCAATCAGAATCCCGCATAGCAGCAACAACAACGACGTCACTTCCTTCTTTCTGGCGTACAAATTGCCGTCGGCTACCCAGATCTCTGTTTTTCTCAGTTTACATGATAACAGAGTTTTCCAAAATCTCCACTTTGGCTGGAGTCTTTAAAAAGCATCATTTTCAGAGGCAAATTCTCTGTTTGCATCTAAACGAAGGGTGCAAATGATGGTTAAAGGGATATTCTGGTGTAAAATTAATTTTGGGTCATACACAACGCAACACCAAGTTAGACACCCCCTTGAGAGAGGAATGTTGCCGACCGCTTGCTTCTCTAGTTATACCAACTTTCGCAACGGCCGCACGATAGCAATACACAGCGGTCTGAGGAGCCATAAACAAACCTCAACCAAAACGCCACTCTATAGCCACAAATAATGCTCAGAACAGCACCTAACTTCATCAACAGTCCCAGACATAGCACTAGCTGCCAAAAATCTTTTAAACTTTGCCTGATTTCTTTAGCAAAGAGACTAAACACAACTCACCTACTCTCTTCCAGCAGCCGCTTGTTTGTAGTGAGACCTCGGGCCAGTCTATTACAGACTACAGCGGGGTGACGCAGCTCAAGGAAGAACATTTATGATCATTACTTCATGGAAATGCAATCAGACCAAGACGCTAAGACAGAAGAACTACTGCGTCTGCAGTGTAAAATGATTAATATGATGATTATTACATCAAGGAAATGATTTTAAAAAAAGGTCATAAATGTTCTTCCTTGAGCTGTGTAACCCCGCTGTAGTCCATAATGGACTGGCCTGAGGTCTCACTACAAACAAGCAGCTGCTGGAAGAGAGTAGGTGAGTTGTGTTTAGTCTCTTTGCTAAAGAAATTAGTCAAAGCTAAAAAGATATTTGGTGGCTAGTACTATGTCTGTGACCCTATATGTCCTGTTGATGAAGTTAGTTGCTGTTCTGAGCATTATTTGTGGCTATAGAGTGGCGTTTTGGTTGAGGTTTGTTTATGGCTCCTCAGACCTCTGTGTATTGCTATCGTGCGGTCGTTACTAAAGTTGTTATAACTAGAGAAGCAAGCGGTCAGCAACATTCATCTCTTGAGGGGTGTCTAACTCAGTGTTACAGTATGTTTGACCCTGAATTAATTTTACACCGGAATATCCCTTTAATGTCTCTGTTTTTAAAGAATAAGTGGGTACATATAAACAGGGCCTAAATCTTTCCACACTTTCTTCAGTTTACCTTCCTTCGTCCTTTCCTGGCTCTCAAACTAAAATGACTATTACTGGTTGGTTTTTGTGCTTCACTCAAAGACGGACTTTTTGAGGAAGCTTCAGAGATGACATTGGCACTGCCAACATAGCACTGGCAAGAATAGCCATGTGCGTCACTGAGGAGCCTCTCGTGGGAACTGCAGGTGCTACCAGCCAATGCTTAAAATTTTGGAACGGCGTCACCACTCGAAGGGAGGCACTTTAGCACTCGGCGTGTGTTTGCAGGCATTATTCTCGGACAAACAATGCATGGCAGCAAATCATGAGATATTATTCATATCAAGCTGCAGATTTTGTTCCCTAAAATGTCTGAAACCAAGAGTGGGGTTCATTAAGGTCCTTCAAGTCAAGCATTTTCGTCATCTTGGATATAATTGGTTCTGATTTCAGCCCGAGTGCAAGAACTCTCTCCTAATTGGTTGCAATCTTGTCTCGGCTTGGCTCAGCCAGTGCACTCACAGAATAAGACAAAAAAAGACATCATCTGGTGAAATGTGAAGTGTGAGACTCAAAGTTTTAAGTAGTGCTGACGGATTTTAGAAAGATAACAGAAACTTGTATTTATTTCACATCTAAAGAAGTCATTGAGGGAATATTTGATAAGGAAATCCATCCTGAACATATATTCCTGGAAACACTCAAAAGGAGATTCAAAACGTTGGGATGTCTGGGTCAACATGTTCTGACTCTTGAAAGACATGGATGGGTGGATGTTACAACACAAAGCAGTGTATTGTGGTAATAATACTGAATTGATAAACACGCTCCTCTGGCGATGTGGTGGGTTGGAATTTGACTCATGACTGAGATTACTCACCTCCTCTCTGTTTTCTCCTCCATTATTCTCAATCTTTGGTTCATTTGATGTATTCCTGATAACACGGGCGATTAAAACAATCAACATCTATAGATTTTAAGGCGGACTACCTCATGTCCTCACTCTAACTCATGGTCTCTATTGGGTCTAAAACTCTTTGACCTATAAATAAACGCCCCAAACCCAATTTAACCGGGTTATAAATAAGAATGGCCTTTTCGTTGTGTAAACAAGTCACAGGTTTGGTAGTTGAAATCTTGTGATGGCCGTGGAAGAAAACAACAGTTCTTTGTTTGTTCAGGCGTCACTGGAGGAGGAGAAACAACAGGCCACAGAAAATTATCTCCCCACATGAAAAGTCGAGAAAACCAAAGTGTCCAAATCCAGTGCTCTGATTTTAGACACTTTAGCGTGCTGTATATCTAATATAAATTGGACTCTAAAGACTTTAATCCATATGTAAAGATCTAATTATCTATTTTTGGGAGAGTTAATCCTTCACTTTAATTCCAGGCCCAGATAAAGTTTCATTCAGCTCATCAGTTTCTCAATGACATCCATTTCTACGCTTTTTAACCCAAATGCAAAATAATGGTGATGGAGCGTCAGTGCTGCAGTGTCTCAGCGTTAAGCCAGCAGGCTCTGGGTAAACACACATTTCTATCTTTGCCAAATCAACTTCAGACAGCTTGTCAGTATCAGAGTGTAAACAGACTCTCAGTCAGTCAGCGGTGTTGGAATCCTCATCTATCTGTTGACTGTCTCTCGCTGAGTCCCACACTCTCTCCTCTTTTATGTGTCAATCAGTGCTGGACTTCTATCAAATAGTAACAGCTCGGGAGCGCACAGTCGGTTTTGGTTTGATAATTAAACATTGTAAAAAGTGTGTCGACGTCACAGGAGGTACAAAGTTCAGGACGGTTACTACAAGGGTAACCTGCGGTGGAGTCAAACATTGACATGGTCCATTGAGAATGGAAAATTATTGAATTTACATCATCAGAGTTGGAATAAAACCATAAAAATAGACATTTTAAACAAAATCTATTAATGCCAAATGATGGACTTGGACAGAGGATGGTTTTCTGACTCCTTTATTCGGTGTTTGTCGTAGTTAACTGTGTTTTTAGTTTCAGTTTCATCTGCAAAGAGAGAGCACAATTTTTAACTTCAAGTTGTTTGCAAAACCATGTCTTGGACGTGTCCCCTGATTGTCTACCTAGATTGTCCTTGTGCTATGAGGTAAACTATGAGGTATATATGATCATATATAATCAACATTTACTGTCAGATAAGAAGTGGGAACAGGGAACCTCAAGGGATCCCCAAAGTCAGACTAAAATATCATGATATTGTCGAATTGATTTTCTCTTGTGTATTCATGCGACTGGACTTATTCTGCTCCAAAGTTTGCTTGTCGGGCTTTGACCCTGAGGTTGAACGGCGTGTGTGCGTTAAAGAAAGCAAGGTGGTAAACAGCCATAGAGGAGGTGTACACACACACTCTTATATACTCTGGTGAATAAAGAGTCCAAATGAGACGAATTGGTTGACTTGCAGCAACAAAACAAGATTTTAAAGTCTTTTCTTGTTGACCAGACTCAAGTCAGAGGAAACCTTCTCCTGGTTTGAGTTCAGACTTCCATTTTCCCAAGTTACACAAAGTCCTCTGTCGAGAGTTTATGATTTAAACTTCCTCTAACAAATCTTGGACCACCATTCTTTGATCCTACGTCATTCCCTGACAATGTTTCCCCTCATAATATACCATAACTCCTGGTACTCGCTGCTACACTGACATCCCAAAGGCCGTTTTTTACGTCTGCAGCTTCTCTTGTGTTTATACGCAGCAGAGCGCTGTTTGGGGTTAAACAGAAAAAAACTACTGCATCAATGATGTCGCTGTAACTCTTCGGGATCCGCCCAGACTCAATCATGGTTAGCTGTTTAGTTTGAATTGATGCAGGATTGACATCATTGCGGTGTGGGAGGCCATCTTCCCAAAGACTTAAACACACTCAAAAGCAAATCTTGTGAAGGAAAAGTGTAAACAGAGATTCTCGCGGTCTGTGCAGACGTGTTTGAATAGAAGGTGTGGTTTCATAGACAGGTACTGAAGGACGTGAACAGGCTTCTACAGCTGCTGACAAGATGTGCCGTGAAGCACGTGTCGCTCGTTTGCATCTTAATGAATTTCAGCTGAGGGTCGTGAATAACCGTGCTTAAGGCTCGTTGGTGAATAAAGCCGTTATCTGAGAGAGTATGCAGCAGCGTGGGAAAATCAGGTGAAGGTTGACTTGGTTTTGGTGGAAATGTCCCCTTGAGGTTTTTAAATCTTTATTTTCAGACAGTCACATTTCTTTGATTGAGTACCCTTCAGGTCGTAAAGCCCACTGAGCAAAAGACAAAAGCTATTAGACATCTATTTTTTTTTTCAACTGTCTACATTTGTATGAATTTAGGTGGAATTTAGATGTTGCACTTCAACCCATTATTCAATAACTATTTATCTAACTATTGCATAACTGTATCCAAGTACTTCACCAAAGTAATTATGATAGCCGTTGAACAATATACAGTTAGACCTCTGTTAGATGGCTAGTCTAAACTTGATCTAAATTATGAACTTTGATTTTTAGACCTGTGGGAGCCTGATTTTAGACCAGTCATCTATGCTACATTAAAACGTCTCTTTTAGACCAAAAATGTTCAGTGGGAGGTGGGTCATCAGGACTGAAGTACCTGGAATCCCGAGAAAAGTTTAGTTGCTGTCTGAAATGTTGAATGAGTACCCCTCAGGTCATAAAGCCCACTTAGCAATAGATGGCTAACAGACGTCTATTTTTTTAGACCTAATTTCAAACATCTAGATTCTGTATATTTTTAGACGTAATTTAGACGTTGCATTTCAACCCATTATTCGATAACTATTTATCTAACTTTTGCGTACGTAACCAAAATAATTATTATAGCTGTAAAGCAATATACAGTTGGACCTCTGTTAGATGACTAGTCTAACTTGGTCTAAATTAAGATGTCTGAAAAACTGATTTTAGACCAGTCATCTAGGCTACATTAAAACGTCTATTAGACCTCCTTTAGACCAAAAATGCTCAGTGGGAGGCAGGTCTTCCAGACGTAAGTACCTGGAATCCAGAGAAAGGTTTAGTTGCTGTCTCAAATGTTGATAAAATTGAGTAAAAGTACAAATATTTAACAAAGAGAGTCTGTTTCTGGAGTTTTCTTAAAATAAAGTATTACTACAGTCTTGCCTTAAAGTTAGGGTGACCTTTCATCCTCTTTTACCCAGACATGTTCTCTCTTTTGGGGGGCTGTCCGGCCTCGTTTGGGAAGGTTTATAAAATCCTTCAAATGTTCAGGGTTTTGTTTGGAAGTTTTGAGTTTGTGTCACGTGAAATTACTGAGTTAGACACTCATAAAAACACTCGATCCACCTGGAAAACTTTCAAAATTAACTACACGTGACTCCACGACTCTGCGAGATTCAGAGTATGGTCGCCCTACTGATAGGATATTTATTTAAGATGTTGTTTTGCACTTTTTTAAAGTACTTATAAGTCTTAGATGATGTGCAAACCATCAAATCCAGTTTGATCAACTTTGATAGGTTTGTATAAATGAGAAAAAGAGTCCTGGAGGAGGTGCACTCACTCTGGTTTATTTTTAACCTTCTCGTCCCTCAGCTCTCTCCTTCTCAAACTCTCTCTTATTCTTTGAATTCCTCCTTCCCTCCTCCCCTCCTTCCTCCCTGCAGACTCCAGCGACCATAAACAGTTGGAAGTTTACTACAAACATGTCAAACAACCCCCCCCCCCCCCCCCTTCCAACAAGGACGACCCCTCCCTCTCCTCGTGGGTAACAATGAACAGGAAGAGCACTCCTTGGTTTTGCAGAGACTCCAGGATCATGCGTGTCCTTTGGTGCTGCCAAGGTGGCGGCCATAAACCTGATTTGACATTGTGACTAAACAGAGACGCTCATATTTGTCCTAAACTGTCTTTTTTAAAGTTCTTATATTTCACAGTCCTGGTTTCATGGTGCTGAGTTTGCACGGGAAAACCTGCTAACTCAATCACACCTAGCTCTGAGTGGGAATTGGGTGTGAAATGGGATTTTTTTGCTTCTTTTTTTCCAAGGTGATTAGCACGTATTAATCCCTTTGTCCTTGTGTTGGAGCTATAGGCAGTCTGCCAAGGGTTTCTCGCAACCATAACTTGATTAAAGGCTGAAGAAAACAACGGTTTCACATCGTCCGGTTATGATTTTGAGTCTTTCACAGGTCACCTCGACCCCCTACACAGAGAAACCTCATCAGTGTCCTCCCTTTGCATTCCACTTGTTATCTCTCCTCTTTCTTTCTTTTTTTTTCACCTTCAGGAAAAGTCATCCACTTTCAGGTTACCTTCCCACTGTCGTTATTTAAATGTCTCTCTCTGCTCTGGGCAATCAGTCACCTGCAGAACTGGACTTTCACCTTCTGAGTCCTGCCTCGAAAACTCAGCTTTCGCTCACTCCCAGAGACCGTGCACATTTCATTTTTTCTCGTTATTGTAATCTCAGCTCTCTAAAGCTGAAGGGCGCAGGTTTCGGGGTCATTTAGAGTCGTTTTCCGTTTTGATAAAACAGAAGGAAAGATGATTTTTGCAAACTTTTCTTTCACTTCTTGATTTCTGTTTCAGCAGTTTAACTTCACCTCTCTTCTCCTTGGACTCCTGGTGACTGCAGCCTCTTGTAAAGGTTGAATTTCACCTCAGAGGAATGTGAAAGGAAAGAGGGTGAATGAGTGAATGAAGGAGAGGGGAAACATTGAGAACAAAACAGGGAAGTTGAGCAAGCTCTACCCCTCCCCTTTCTCCCACACACCTCCTCCACACCAGTGCCTCCCTCCCACTCAGTAACCCCCCTCCCCTCCCCATTTTCACTGACATTTCTACTACTCACCTGTCCAGTTTACCCCCCTCTCTTTTTTCGCCTTAATCCGAGCTCCTCCCCTGGAGGCAGGTGAGCCAGTTTGGGGGTATAAAGGTATGCCGATGTGGAGAAACCTATCTTCTCTGCTCTGAGGAGAGAGGAAGACACGGGACAGACGCAACAGGGCTGAGCGAGAGAGTGTGTGAGTGAGAGAGAGAGAGAGAGAGAGAGAGAGAGAGAGAGAGAGGCGGAGTAGGAAAGCAGCAATTTAAAAAGACAATTGGATTGACTGTTCGCAGACTTGCACTGCAACCATGGGGCTGGGAGTAAGTATCTAAACTTCATCACATGCTTTGGCCTAACTCTCTAAGAGTCTTTAGATCTCGGTTTTTGGATTAGACCTCTTATGATTCTCTGTGTTTGAGCTCAGACCAAGTTTCTGTCACAAGTTATTGCTTACTCTTGACAGTTGTGGAATCGCCTGAGGTGTTTTAAAGTTTTGAAGCAGACAGTCTTAAGAGAGTCTTTCCAAAAACCGAGAGTTTTTATGAGCGAGTTTCCCCCCTTAAGAATGATTAACACAAGAAGGTTTACAGCATGTTTGAACAGCAACGTTGACACTGTTTGCCGCTCACACTGGCGCCACAAAAGAGGAAGTCTTCCACATGTGCTCAGTGTCACGCCGAAGCTGATTATGTTTCACTTTCTTCAATCCAGAGAGGGAAAGAAGAGTACAAACTGGCGGCGACGTCCGATGGCGGGGAGAAGAAAGGCAAAAAAGGAAAAGGGGAGAAGGATATGGACGATCTCAAGAAAGAAGTTGACTTGGTGAGTACACAAACAAATGTAAAAAAACCAGTCTGTGTAAACGCCGGGGCCGGGAAATGTCAGAAACGCTGCGCTTGTGACTCGCAAAATCCCCTTTATTCATACTGAGAGCAGCAGCAGCAGCAGCAGCAGACGTCAAATAACCTTCTTGAACTTTGCAATCGTCCAATACACAAAAGCTGACTCATACTTTAAAGACAGTCCTGGTCACTGCGAGCCCCTGCTATTGGTCACAGTCACAGCTGAGACAAACCTCACCGCTGGTCACATGAGAGCTCGCTCTATACCTTGTATTTCAGAGAGATTGCTACTCAGCGTCACATGTCATTAAGGCGTTTTGCAGCTTTACTCATAATTCTTGTTTTTATCTCGATTTGTCACGACTCTCTTATCATGATCAGTACATAAGTTTATCAGCCGCTCTCATGCAAGTACCAAACTTTCTCTTGTGCACTCTGGAGGCATGTACATTTGCAGACTTGCCTACATTATGTGGTTTTGAAATTTCCTGTCTTGTTGAACAGTCGCCCCGATTTCCACTGGTGTCAGCTCTTTTCTGAATCGGTTGCTGGCTCAGGTCATTTCCCAAGGTCAGAGGCGCTCTGGCGTTAAGTTCTGAATGATTATACAGCGACCGTGCAGGAATCAAAAAAAGCATTTACTCGCAGAAAAAAAAAAGTGGATATTCAAGGGGTTAAGTTTGATGTTTAGACCATGGGAGGAGTTTTATGAGGCTTATGAAACAAAGTAAAATTAATACTGATGCCTCTTTATGACCTAGAAAAGCAAAGCAGACCATCAGTGACAAGATCGATGATTTCTTCAGTTATTTTTCACACCTAGAAGCACATTTAGAAACAGTATTTTCAAGAGTCACAAGATGGGCAAAAATTTTAGAAATAAGCGCAAATCCTAGAAGCTTTAAAGTTTGATTGAAACTTTTATTAAAAGGGCGTCTAAATTTGAAGTTAGCTCATGACTTCTGGTTAAAAAACTGCGTTGAAAGGCGAAGAGTCACTGAGAATGTCCTTGGCAAGGTTACGAGTCGAGTCGGTGCAGACTCAGGTTTTCTCGAAGTGTTTCATAGATTAAATAAACTGCAAATAAACATCTGCGTGATTAAAATGATGGTTTAGATTGTCTTAGATTTTTGATATGATGTGTTAAAGACTTTTAAAAACTAGATTTGACCCTCACAAGGTCATCGAGTCAAGACTTAGAGTGAAATCTAAAAATACGTCTACAGATACTGATCTTTAAAAACATCAAAAAAATTACACTTTTTTCGTCTCTTTTTCACTTTTTATTCACTTTTTAGTCGAGTTTTCCAATGTCACCCCGCAGGTCAGAGAGTACTGCAGGTTATAAGATGATAAAATCCTCATCTAGGTGACAGATTAATGATTATTGTCCTCCTTACGTCTTAACTCGATCTCAAAGTCCTGCTGCTGAAGGTCATCTCAGCGCCATAGCAACCGTATCACCACGCTCGCCGTATCATTTACTGCAATCAACAGCGGGCGCTCTCTCTTCAAAGTGCTTTAATTTCCAGAGTGTAAAGGGTTAAAGAGTCATTTACAGTTCCTCAGGTGTCAGACTGAAGCTGAGGTTAAAGAGTAATGACAGACTGAAGGAAACAGGAGCAGAAGTGTGAGCGACTCTCCTCGACGCCCATCAAGCTGACATGTTAATGATTATTGCACCATCGTATTGCACCATCAGATTATTAACCGAGGCGTCAAAGTCCGGTCGAAGACAATGGAAACTGTTCCCAAGGCAACATAAAGCGGTCTCAGATTTGATCCCTCGGACAAAGTCCAGCAGAAAGTGTCCTTTTTTGAATCTCTGCAGGAGGGCGTGTCTGCGCGTCCAGATAAGATCCAAAAACCACGTGTTTTCAGATCCCTGTTTCCCGAAGGCGGCTTCAAAAGTACTGGAAACGGAGCGTTTAAAAAAAGCAGCACTTGTTTATAGCATGAAACAGAACATTATCCACGGTACATTTAACACGGAGCCATCAGCGGCACCATAACTTATCATTTTCTACACTAGATAGTGACTGTTGCCTCCACTCAGGACTCCAAACATCTCATTTTCAGTCGTTGAATTATTGTAATGTGGAATAAATGTCAGCATTTTTTAAAAAACAGCTCAAATCTAATTAAAACATAAAACTTTAAAAGGTCAGAGTCGATTATTTTGAATCTAATAATCGTGTTTAAACCCTTGGAAAAGAAAGATGTCATTTCCTCGTTTTAATAATCCAATCCAAAGGACATACTTTCCATGTTTAGAGTGTTTGACTTATTGGATTTGTCGGGGTGTTGCGAGCAGTTTAGGTTTTCTTTCATGGAAAAGCAATTACTCAGGGAGAGAGAAAAAAGACCACAGAGTGTCGTGCAGAAGTGGAAAATTCAGCTCCATCTCAATCACAACAAGAATTTCTCACATATGTGAGGCCAGGAACCGAACACAGAAACTACTGTTGTTGGCGTCTCTTCTTTGGACGTTCTGCTGCTAAGATGATGACATGTAAGTGCTTACACAGTGCTGGAAAATAAGAGGTGGGAGCCAGATATGATCACAGATCATCCAAATTACAATCTATTCATTCACTGGCTGGAGGCGTTATCCAAACAACACGGTGTAGGCGCCTGAGAGTGCCAGCTTCTCTGGTTGTTCATTTCTAGATTCACTTTTCTTTGAGATTTCGACAGGATGAAACCGTCTCAGATTCTGCACGTCTGAATATTTCCCAGCGGCGGCACTTAATCTGATTGAATCATTAGATGTTGATGAGTGTTGAGGCGTGAATCTGAAAGTGTGGGCGCCTCTTCTGGGTGAACTCCACTGAAATGTCAAACTCATGAGCAACACTCTCTGGAGGAAACATCAGCATATCAGATGGGTGACGCTGATGGGACTGAATAGAGTCAGACTGTTTTGATGAGTCCGTGTGAACTGAGTCTGTGCCCTTCGATTCAGCTTTTGGAGTCATCAGATCTGAGTCATCTTCGAACCACACTGTACCGCATGTGTTTATAATCCAGAACAGATGCCAAGTCAACTTTATGTCCAGGACATGACGTGAGATTGTTTTAATCTCCAGACTGCCTCTAACTCCCTCTCTCCTCCTCTTTCTCCATAGGATGATCACAAGCTGACCCTGGATGAACTTCACAGAAAGTACGGGACCGACCTCTCCAGAGTAAGTCTGCGAGGCTCGTGTGTTTGTTTCTGTTTAGGCCTATCGGAGTGAAAGTTACTCCCCAAGGTCGCTGTATTCCAGCGAGGCAGATAAACCAAGAAGACGGGAAGTTTTCCCAGAGTGCGGACGAGCCAAAAGCACACGTGTACTTGTAGCTCAGAGCAGAGTGGATAGAGGCCGTTTTTACAGATCCTTCACTTTGGATATTCAACTTTAACCTTAGAGATGTGGTTTGCAGAAAAAAACCCGGTCAAGTCTAAGAGGCAGCAACAAAGCAGCGTCAACGCAGAAGTTTAAATCAGGCTTAAACAAGGAAAACCTAAAAATCATAGATATCATATAACACTAGATGCCTCACGATCCTTATAATGTTGCGAAGTCCGAGCTGAAAATGACGGCACACCCAAGTTACCAGCGTTTCAGTTACCAATTCGGAAGAAAGGAAAATCTGAGATGGAAACAAGATAGCTAAAGTTATTTTAGTGCTTGCCTTGTCCGAGTATAAGCAAGGACGAGGCAAGTGCTACAATAACTATCGTAGATGTAGCCATCTTGTGTCCACCCCTGATTTTGCCTTCTTCTGACTTACGCTGTTAACTCGGGTGTGACGTCATTCTCAGCTCGGACAAAAGCAAAATCGGAGGCGGAAACTACAAAAGGGGATGCTAAAATAACTTAAAACAACTAAAATAACAAGCGCTAAAATAACTTTCATAGATGTAGCCATCTCAATTTTGCTTTTCTCCGACTTGGTAACTGAAACGCTGGTAACTCGGGTTTGACGTCATTCCCAGCTCGGACATCTGACTTCCGAGGTAACTCGAACGCTGCTAATTATATCTTTGCGGCAAAAGGGCAAAATAAAAGGCCTCATTTTCGCATATACGCTTTGTAATGCCATTCAGATAATTTGCAAGTGATCCCAGGAACAAAGTGGAGCATCTATACAGAGTTATCTTACAGCTTTGATAATCTGGAGTAAGGACTTTTAAAAATAACCCACTGTTTTAGCGTTTTCTAGCAAAAAAGGGAACTAAACCAACAAGACAAAGACGCGTTATTTTAGGTTAAACCCACATCTGTAATGAAATAACATCTACCTGAATAGATCTGCTTCAGAGGATGGAGAAAGAATATGTTGTGATTTGATTGAACTGACCCTCAGGAGTGCCATTAAACCTCACAGTAGACTAAAACTGGGGGATCCCTGCTGTTACAAAATGTTCTTTCCGTTTTGGTCCGTGCTCTTCATTAAGCCGAGGACACACACACACATAAACACAAATACACACTGAATCCCATTACACAACCATACAGCAGCTAAATGCTTCACTGATGCTGATTATCTGCTGAAATCTGATCTGTCTGAGTTTGGCTCCAAACAAAAACTTCATTCAGGCAGGAACACCGGTCTTATTGACCCAACCAACAAGGGGAAAAAAAAACTCCTGTTAGGACCTTCAGTCACACTTGACACTTAATTCTGCTCCATTTTTAAACTCCGTAAGAAAGTGTGACCTTGACCATGTGAGGCACTCACTGTTCATTGATAATACGGATACAGCCTGATTGTCTCGTCTCCGTCTTCCACCCTTTTCGCTTATCTGAACCTACGAGTTAGACACATTACACAGAGCTGTGGAGGAAAGACAAACAGTACTTAGAGGATTTCTGGAGTCTTTCTTCCTGTGGATGGAGGTTTCTGCTGTTTTTGTGTAAACCAGCCTCTAATCCACCACCTCCTGAGGTAATAGCAGTGTACCTGTTTACCAAATACAGCAGTCCAGGAGGGGAAATGTCGCTCTGACTTGTCCTTCAGAGTCAGACGGGCAAAGACAAAGCAACTGAGAAGCAGGGGACATGAGACTGGACTCACGGGTTTTCGATTTTGGGCTCTTTTAGTTTACAGATTAAGATGTTGGTGGTTTTGTCTAATATGCGAAAATGAACCCTGTCAAAAAAAAACAGAACTAGGTGGCAAACATAAATTTGGGATGAAGAGTTTTTTTTTTTTTTTATATATATTTTTTTTTAAACTTTTATTTATTTATTTATTTTTTATTAATTTTAAACAAGGACAAATACATAGAAAAGACAGACAAAAACAGTTATCTAAAATCATCTTAGATATTTAAAAACAACTTTCATATTTAAAACTAAAGATCAACTCAGTAACAGGCGAAGAAAAAAACAATCAAATTAAAAAATATATATAATTAAAAAAATAATTTAACAAAATTAAAAAATGAATAAAAGTAAAAAAAAATAAACAAAAAAAAATTAATTAAAAACAAAAAACAAAACTATAACTCTTTATCCCAAACTTTTGTTCTTGCTAATTTTTTTCTAACCATCTAGGTCTGTTTTTTTTTTTTAACTTTTTGCCATAATCTTAGTCAATAAGTCGTGATGTTTTAAGAATTAAGTGAAAAATTCAAATTTAATATCCTTTTGCTTTTTGAAAAAAAAAATTAATTCATATAAATTATATATATATTTTTTTCTTTTTTTTTCTCTCTTGCTTTTTTCTTCCTATTTTTACTTATTTCAGTACCTGAGGCCAAATCAACTTTTTTTTTATTACTATAAATAATTTGTTTGATTTTTGATTAAATTAATTTTAATATTGAACAAACCTGACAAACCTTTGGGTGTTATTTATTATTGTTATTGTTTTGTTATTTAGGTGTCTTCCCTTTTTTTCTGCTTTGTCCTAAACTTATGTGTTTGTGTTAATATGATTTATGTTTGACCATATGAAAATAAAACTAAATGTTATGTTTAAAAAAAAAAATGAAAAAAAAAATTTACAAAAATTTTCCTCCTTCTTGAAAACCCCAGATTATATTGATAGGTGATGGTGGTAAATCAAGTCCTCATTGATGTCTTCTTTGTTCCTCTCTTTAGGGTCTGTCCAACTCCAGAGCCAAAGAGATCCTGCTCCGTGACGGCCCGAACGCCCTCACACCTCCTCCCACCACACCTGAGTGGGTCAAGTTTTGTAAGCAGGTAAAAGCCAGCTCTCCACCCTTGATCATGCAAAAACTCACACCTGGTTTGCATATTCAAATGATCAGAAGAGTCCTGAATCAGTCCGCTTGTTTTTCTTGTTTCTAGCTGTTTGGCGGTTTCTCCATGCTGCTGTGGATCGGTGCTATCCTCTGCTTCCTCGCCTATGGTATCCAGGCTGCCTATGAAGATGAACCCGCCAATGACAACGTAAGGAGAGCTCCACTTGTAATTGAGGAATTACTCCCACCATAACAGATTAACTGACTGTTTTCTCTTGCCGCAGTTGTACCTGGGTGTTGTACTCTCCGCTGTCGTCATCATCACTGGTTGCTTCTCCTACTACCAAGAGGCCAAGAGCTCCAAGATCATGGACTCCTTCAAGAACCTGGTCCCACAGGTGAGTTTTCCAACATTTGTTCCCATATTTGCACCATAAAAAACAGCGTTCAGTCCCAGTTTCCTCCAGAGTCCAAGAGCCAATCTTTTTTTTCTCACCTTTGACCCACAGCAAGCCCTCGTCGTCCGTGATGGAGAGAAGAAAAACATCAACGCAGAAGAGGTGGTGGTGGGAGATCTGGTGGAGGTGAAGGGTGGAGACAGGATCCCTGCAGATCTGAGAGTCATCTCTGCTCATGGCTGCAAGGTTTGTACCTTAACAAACCTTAACCTTGTGCCTGTAGCAAACTTCAGTCATGAGTCAGTAAATCCGGGTTGAAGTAGATTGACATCCAAAGGTCGCGAGCCAAACGTCCTTGTCATTACATCTCACTGCGGTCACCGTGTGTCTGAATCCCTAAGCAGTCAGTTGTATCTTCTTATTCTTATTTTATTTTCCCTCCATTAGGTCGACAACTCCTCCCTCACCGGTGAATCCGAGCCCCAAACTCGTACTCCGGACTTCTCCAACGACAACCCTCTTGAGACCAGGAACATCGCTTTCTTCTCCACTAACTGCGTTGAAGGTAGAAAACCTGCAACAACAAAAAAAAATGATATTGTGTCAAGTTTTGAGTTCTCAAGTGCTAGTTCAGGCAAGCTACGAAGTTTGGCCCCGCCCACATACATAAGCCGAACGTAGCACCAGCACAAAACATCAAATTAACTTTACAACCTCCATCGCAGCTGTCTTTTGAAGCTGTTTCTGAATTTACGAGAGTGGTTTGCGGTCTGACAAGGGGGGGTCTCTAAACACTTGCTCCCACTCCCACTTTCTCCAGGTACCGCCAGAGGAATTGTCATCAACACCGGAGACCGTACCGTCATGGGTCGTATCGCCACCCTCGCTTCCAGCCTTGAAGGCGGCAAAACCCCCATCGCCGTCGAGATCGAGCATTTCATCCACATCATCACCGGTGTGGCCGTCTTCCTCGGCGTCTCCTTCTTCATCCTCTCACTCATCCTCGGTTATGGATGGCTGGAGGCCGTCATCTTCCTCATCGGTATCATCGTCGCTAACGTGCCTGAAGGTCTCCTGGCTACTGTCACTGTGAGTTCTGGCGTCACATGTTGCGTGTTTTTTTTAACAGGATATAAGAAGTGAAATTAATCATATGGAAATGATGTTTGGCTCTAGGTGTGTCTGACTCTGACCGCCAAGCGTATGGCCAAGAAGAACTGTCTGGTGAAGAACCTGGAAGCCGTGGAGACCCTGGGATCCACCTCCACCATCTGCTCTGACAAAACCGGCACCCTGACCCAGAACAGGATGACTGTGGCTCACATGTGGTTTGACAACCAGATCCACGAGGCCGACACCACCGAGAACCAGAGTGGAACCTCCTTCGACAGGAGCTCAGCCACCTGGTCTGCCCTGGCGAGGATCGCCGGACTCTGTAACCGCGCCGTCTTCCTGGCCGAGCAGAACAACGTCCCCATCCTGAAGGTGAACTATATCAGCCTGCAAAGCTCTCCTGTTTGCTTCACTTCACCTTTTCTGATCATCACAAAGCTGTCTAAATAATTCACCTGTAGAGGAGGTTATCAATAACATCAGCTCGAGGTGTCACGCCGTCTTTCAGGCCGAGCTGTGAGCAAACAGAAAGCTGACAACATTTCGTTTAATTTGATAGTACACAGCGAGGATTCTGAGATCCAGTGTGGGAGGTGACTTGGCGAGGAACTTTTTGGATCCTGCAAAAATACCAAATCAGCCAGACTGCACTACAAATCTTTATAAAAAGCACTCAACCTAATGAAAGGCTTTTACGCAAATATATAGCTGCTACCGCTGCTGCTGGTGCTATAGACAAAGAAGCCAAACAGAGCGAGTGATTTATTTCTGAATGATGGCTGGCAAGTTAATTTCTTTCTCAAACTGCTCAGTGGAAGCCAAACAAAAACAAGCAGAACAGGCCGTGATAGTAGCCAGTGAAACAGTCCGTGATATGCTGTCTTTGTGAGTTAAGTCAGTTTCTTCTTACAAAGGGAAAAGCTTTCAAACCCACTGATGTATTTATTTACCCTTCATCCACAGAGAGATGTAGCCGGTGACGCCTCAGAAGCCGCCCTGCTGAAGTGTATCGAGCTGTGCTGCGGATCAGTCGGCGGCATGAGAGACAAATACCCCAAGGTTGCCGAGATTCCCTTCAACTCCACCAACAAATACCAGGTACACATCCTGACAACGTTTCACACATTTCTAGTGCTCTTTCGTTATTAATTGTTTGTTTTTTCATCAGTTTCATAAGGGTTTAGTTAATCCCATCATCATAGGAGCTTACTTTTACCACCCCAAATACTTGGAAATAGTGCAAAAATAACAGAAGTAAAAATATTAAAATATATAGTCATTCTAGATTTGATGCAAGCAACATCTATCCTAAAGAAAAAAAAAACACTGGGGTAGAAACATGACTGAGTTAGAGAGGCTGGATATTGTCGCTAAATGAATGCAACAGTAGGCATGACTCTGTAGTGGGAAGTAACTGCATTCCCAAACACTGATTATACTGTTATATTATACTACTTGAGGTGACGATATTATGAATCCCCAAAAAGAGGACACGACTAAGCAGGGAGCGGAGATTAACTTTGAGAGATTTTCGGGTCAGATCGAGTGTTTTTACGCGCTTCTAACTCAGTAAGTCCACGTGACACAAACTGAAAACCTCCATATAAAACCCCGGACATCTGAAGGATTTTATAAACTCCCTCAGACAAAGCCAGACAACGCCGGACAGGCCGCACAGCCCCCTAAAAAGAGGGCATGTCCGGGTAAAACAGGACATATGGTCACCCTATAAACTCGCTTGTTATAAACGCATAAATAAAAAGCCAGCATCGCTAATGGTCTGAGGGTCACTTACACATCTATGAGGGCTTTATTTATTCTAAACAGTAGATACAGGAACATATGCTGCCATGTTTTCATATTACAACAACATGGCTCAGTAGTAGAAGAGTCCAGCTAGCAGTCCTGGTGCGATGACGCTGAATATTGTCTTAGAATTATATGTAAATTTTAAAAACATCATCATTTCTGAGATAATAAAGGTTGTAAATGTAACTGGGGCAATTGTTGATTTGCACCCCCTTGTGGTTGTTCTACGTCATATCACCACTGATTTGTTTGGGATGAATGAGTGTTTTAGATTTTAAGACGTCATCAAAACAGATTTAAAACTACAACACTTTGTCCCTTAGCTCTCCATCCACAAGAACGCGACACCAGGAGAAACCAAGCACCTCCTGGTCATGAAAGGAGCCCCCGAGAGGATCCTGGACCGCTGCTCCACCATCATGATCGCAGGAAAAGAGCAGACTCTGGATGACGAGATGAAGGACGCTTTCCAGAACGCTTACGTTGAGCTGGGAGGACTTGGAGAGAGAGTGCTGGGTACGAACACGTGGCTTTCACACTTTTACGTCTTGATTACACGGCGAAGAAATCAGACCCCTGACTAGTGTTTCTTTCCCGCAGGTTTCTGCCACTTCAGCCTGCCTGATGACCAGTTCCCAGATGGCTTCGCTTTTGACACTGAAGAGGTGAACTTTCCCACTGAGAACCTGTGCTTCATCGGCCTCATGTCCATGATTGACCCTCCTCGTGCCGCTGTGCCAGATGCTGTTGGAAAATGCAGGAGCGCTGGAATCAAGGTCTGAAATTTGTATCCACGGCGTAGGAATCCCAACATTTCACCGGGCAGAAATATTCAAAAATCATTTCTTGTTCACAGGTCATCATGGTCACAGGTGACCATCCTATCACAGCCAAGGCTATTGCCAAAGGTGTGGGTATCATCTCTGAAGGCAACGAGACCGTTGAAGACATCGCCGCTCGCTTGAACGTACCAGTGTCAGAGGTCAACCCCAGGTTAGTCTCTCACTAAAGCTTGAACTCTATATTTACGTTCTAGATGTAATCTGGTTACTGATCAAAATTGTGTTTCTGGCGAATATGGACCGACTTGAGTGGTTAGTTTGTCATCCCACTTTCAGTTTTTGTCTGTGGCAGCACTTCAACTGCTTGAACAAAATTTCATCAGTGTTGGCTAAAGAGGTCCTGTTCACTCCATCGCCAGAAAGGCTTTTACTGTTTTCTACTGCAGACTCATAAATCCATTCTGGTCTTGGAGCAGATGGCTGATTTGAGTCTCTGTCAGCATCAGCAGAGCGCAGTCTCTCATGGAAATTAAAAAATGTTGGAGTCTTGGAGGGGAAACTTCGACAAACTAATCTTTTTATACTTTTGTCTCTTATCCGGTTGTAACTAATGGTCCACTGCTGTTATGATTTCCTTTCTAGGGATGCCAAAGCCTGCGTCGTCCACGGTGGAGAGCTGAAAGACATGACCTCAGAGCACCTCGATGATGTGCTGAAACACCACACTGAAATCGTCTTCGCCAGAACCTCTCCTCAGCAGAAACTGATCATTGTGGAAGGTTGCCAGAGACAGGTACGATCATAAAGATGCATCCAAAGACATCCTCCATGCTTGATCGTCTGTTTTTGTTAGAAATCTTACAAGTATCTTGTTTTCTTTCCTCAGGGAGCCATTGTAGCTGTAACAGGTGACGGTGTGAACGACTCTCCTGCTCTGAAGAAGGCTGACATCGGTGTTGCCATGGGTATCGCCGGATCTGACGTCTCCAAGCAGGCGGCTGACATGATCCTGCTGGACGACAACTTTGCCTCCATCGTTACTGGAGTGGAGGAAGGTAAGACCTGAACCTGCAGAGTTGTGAAAGCGGAGACCACAAAAAGCATCATGTAACTGGATTTCCTCTCTTTTCTAGGCCGTCTGATCTTTGACAACTTGAAGAAGTCCATCGCCTACACCCTGACCAGTAACATCCCTGAGATCTCACCCTTCCTGCTTTTTATCATCGCCAACATCCCGCTGCCTCTGGGAACCGTCACCATCCTCTGTATCGACCTGGGAACTGACATGGTAAACTACCTCAAGGAATTATTCTTCAGGGACATCAAAACACGTTCTTGGAAGTTAAACTGCATCTGTTCTCTCTCAGGTTCCCGCCATCTCTCTGGCTTATGAAGCAGCTGAGAGCGACATCATGAAGAGACAGCCCAGAAACCCCAAAACAGACAAACTGGTGAACGAGAGGCTGATCAGTATAGCCTACGGACAGATTGGTAAATTGATTGATAATGACGCCTGATCAATTCTACCTTTAACGGACCCGTCTGATTAAAGTCTTTCCTTTTTTCTTCTAGGTATGATGCAGGCCACGGCTGGGTTCTTCACATACTTTGTGATCCTGGCTGAAAACGGTTTCCTCCCCATGGACCTGATCGGTATCAGAGTGCTCTGGGACAACAAATATGTCAACGACTTGGAAGACAGTTATGGACAGGAATGGGTTAGTAATCACCATTTGTGTCTATTTTTATTATCAATGGTTTTCTTTTATTTCCTCATTTCACTTCTATATTGAATTGTTACCTCAAGTTACATAAGAAACTGGATAAGCATTCAGAGAAGGAAGTAATAAAGGGGAAGGAACTCGGTTTGGCCCATAGACTGTTTATAGAATGGACAGAGTCAGCCTCCTCTCTGGGTGAAGCCACTCCGAGAACAGCACCCTCTGTTGATGGGCTGCAGTATAGGTCATAAATCCTGCCTCCTCCAGCAATCCCTATGGAGCTGTGGACAAACTTTAGAAATTTATTACATAGAATATAAATTTTTCTCTCCCCTGCTTGTGATGTTGACATGTAGTTACAGTAAGACTAGTTTGTGCTCAAGTCCTCTTTTTTCTGTACGGCTCTGTTTTTAAAAGTTATTAGGGGGTTCATGTTTTCTATGATTGACACCTGATACAGCCTATGGGTGTACGAAGATTACGTAGCTCACCGGGAGGATACGCTGTTTGAGCCGAGCATCATCACAGCCACTCTGGGCAACTCTACCGCCGAATGCGTTCAACACTACTGCGCAATGTTGATTTTAGGAAATGGAGAAAAAACGTAGAATTACCGAGAGCTTTTCGGCTTCAAAACCGTATACTGGTGGAAGGCGGAACCAAGTTGTCCACAGTATATACAGTCTATGTTTTGTTCCCTTGGTGGAGCTGGGATTCATCCTTGCAGCAATCGAGCTGGAGAAGTTCCTGCTAAGAGGTTGTGGGCAGATAAAAACAGAAGAGGCCCCAGGAAAGAGCCGAGGGGAACTCCAGTGGTGACAGAAAACATTTTTGTTTGGCTGTTTTTGTCGCTCATTGAGACATAAATTAAAAATGGGCAAACGGGATGAGGTCTGTTTGGTGGACAGATTAGTGTTGAAATTAATGGTAAATTAGAGAAGAGGCCCCAGGACAGAACCCTGGAGGACACCAAAAGTAATAGAAAATAAGTGCTTCTGTTTGATTATTTTTCTACCTCATTTTGACATAATTGTACATTTTGGGAAAACAGTGGTTTACTATCGAGTTAAAAAACTTGTGTGAGTGCAGATTTGATTAAAAAAACTTCACATTCGACCTTTTGAAAGAGAGTCGAAACATCTCCAAGAACCTCAAACGAGTCCAGTCACCCTTTTAACAAAGAATTGAGTTACTTACATTCATGTTCTTAAAATGTTCTCTCCACCAGACGTACGAGCGCAGAAAGATCGTCGAGTTCACCTGCCACACAGCCTTCTTCGCCAGTATTGTGGTCGTGCAGTGGGCCGATCTGATCATCTGTAAGACCAGGAGGAACTCCATCCTGCAGCAAGGAATGAAGTACGTATGAATCGGCACAGAAAGTATAGAAAGTCACATCCAAACTTGTACTTGCTGTCAACTATGGATTAATGGATTGATGAGGTTAATTTAGTTCATGAAAATTAGATGTTTTATTTGTTCTTAATTGTCTCCTTTTACTCTAGGAACCGAATCCTCATCTTCGGACTGTTTGAGGAGACGGCTCTTGCTGCCTTCCTTTCATACTGTCCTGGCATGGACGTGGCCCTCAGAATGTACCCTCTCAAGTAAGTAAAAACACACTGACACACACACACTCATACACACACACTGCAGCCTTTTAACCAAAGAGTTGAACTTTACCTGACCGGAGTGACTTTCTATTTCTGTCGATACACTAATTATCTGATCAGCTCTTTCAGTCTGTGGTTGTTCCTGTCGGTATGATCTCATTTTCTGTGTAAACACTCAGAACATTCATTTTAATGCAGACTGGGGGATTTGATGAGCACAATATGCATTATCCTTATTAAAGTGGTCATCCGTGAAATCCTTTTTTCTCTGAATTTGCCGACCTTCGCCACAGAGCGTCTTCCACATTGTTGTCCCTGCTGAATTTCACTCACGTCCACACTTTTTCCAGCAGATCCATCCTGCTATGACATCCAAACACACCACAAACACTCTCATAAGAACTCATTAGTTAAAGAACCTAATATTCAAAGCGAGGTATCATCAGCATATGAATTGATCTAAATGGTCTAATGTCCCCCTGAAGCTCTCCAAACCCCCGTGGATATACGACTCTTTCCTTCAACAGTCTGCGAAAGTGTTTTTATCATTTTTGTCACTTTCCTGCTCAAACTAAATCTCTCTCCGTCTGTCCTTCTCTTCCTCAGGCCATGTTGGTGGTTCTGTGCCTTCCCCTACTCCCTCCTCATCTTCCTGTATGATGAAGCCAGAAGATATATCCTCAGACGCAACCCAGGCGGTAAGACCCTTATTTAAGCTTTTTGGGTTCTTTTATTAGGACTTTTATATCACAGGTCTGCCTGTGCTCTCTGTATCAGGAGGTAAATGTTGTCTCTGTCCAAAACAAATCCAGTCAAAATGTTCATAGATGTTTCTTGTAGTTCCCATTTTAAAAAAAACTCTTAATCTTCCCACTATTTTTTAATGAAAAAAATGGCCCCATAATTTTGCATAAAGATTGTATTTGAAGTTTTACAAACTTCCAGGATATAACTGTAAGTGTCCCAAAAATATATCAAAAATTTGCAAAGTTTTACAAAACCTAACCCAAAATCTTTTCTTTAAAAATTCTAGATGAGACCCAATTTTTTTTTCTTCAATTTTTCAGTTTAAATTTTTCATTGAAAGTTTCCCAAATTTTTTCAAAATAAATCTTAAATCAAAAACTCCAAAGTTTGACAACAATTTCCTGAACTGTCACTAAGGTCTCCCAAAAATACAATCATGACATCCATTACATTCTTAAAATTTTGTTTTTGATTTTTCAAGCGTTACAAAATTCTTATGAACTTATGATGATTTTTCTAAAAAACCAAATGTTTAAAATTTTAGATATATTTTTAAGATTTTTTTTGAAACTCTGGAAATACCAGTTTATATCTGAAAGTTTCCCAAAATCCTTTTAAAAATTTAGTCATATTTTGGGAAAATTTTCCTCATAATTTAGCCTTTTTTTTTTCAAATTAATTATGTAAGGCTTCCACTGGATTTCAGAAATTTCTTTAGTAAATCTTTAAAATTTCTGTAGATTTTTCTCATTTTTGGAATTCACGTTCTTGTTTCTAAAGGTCTATTTTATTTTATTTTATTTTATTTATTTATTTTTCTAGCAACATTTTAGGAAAAATCTTAAAATTTCCACAGAAAAAAAGTCCAGGAGGTCTCAAAGTTGAGCAGAAAAAATCAAGTTCTAAAAATTTGCTCTCATTATATTTCAAAAATTCTTTCACTGTTTCCTCAGTGAAATACTTTGCTTAACAACCAACAAGAACTTTTTTTTTCTCCCACTCACTAATTGGCAGATATTTTGTCTGATACAGAGAGTAAAATCAATACTGTAGTGATAAATGATGATGTAAAGTTGAGGGTACATGGAGCTGTTTGTGTCCCCTTGTGTCAGTTTCATGTGTGTTTGTGGATGTGTGTGATATCTCCATCAAAACTGCGCCCCACACAGACCAGTGAACTGTGGCAGATGGCAGAGCCCAGAGGGATTTCAACCCTCAACCCCTCCATTGTTAGCTAAAGCCTCGTTCCATTCACGGATCTGAGTACAACCTGTATGCAGGGCTGGCTTTAGTGCAGCTGTTTGTGTGTTCGTGTGTGTTTGTGGGTCTGCTCCATCTGAGCCCCTCCGCACAGATCAGTGAACATCCCATTGCCCATCCATGGTGAATAATTTGTTACCAACAGAGAGAGAAAACAAGTCAGAGCCACAGATTTCCAAACAAACAGGAATGGATTAAAGCAGATAAAGACAAGAGCTAAAACTTTGGTGTCTGAAGTTGAACCCATGATTCCAGTCCAGTGATTTTGAGCTCTCTATGAAACACGACTTCTCCATGTTTGGGGCCTAAAAATAAAACGCAGCTCTGGGCTCAGCGGAGCGCAGCCAAAAGATGCGAAATCACACAAGTCAAGCATGCAAATCTTGTCAACTTCTCATGAAGTTTTATGAGATTTACATCTTTTGGGTCATGAGTGATGATATCATCCATCTCCCCGTCTCTTCACAAAGAAAGTCGTGGCTCTGAATCATTGACACTAATCATGTCCCGTGATTTCACCCTGCAGCCTGAGCACAAAGTTAAAAGTCTCTGTATGACAACAAGAAAATTCAGACCCTGAACATGTCCCTAATTGTGTCTCCTTTGGTTTCCAGGTTGGGTGGAGCAGGAGACATACTACTGAGTCGACACATACGCAGAGGGGAGCAGTCAGTGTTTCATCGTTTTTTGCTGCCATGTTACATATTTGTCTGAAATGTTAGCCAGACGGGAAAAAAACACAAAAACATGGATAAATTAAGAAAATCTTGATGTATATGTCCTTCTCAATAAAATATTTCCTTACCATTGTACATCTGGGCTGGCTTAAAGTGTGTTTCTTTCTCTTAGTTATACCAAAAAGCACAAACGTTTTTGATGCCATGTTGACATTATCAAAAAAATCATCAAACATTTCACAAAATTCACACTGGGACTCTGGTTTCTTTCATATTTCTGCACTTAAGCCCGGGGGAATATGTAAAAAAGACACGAACAAAACAGGGAAGTTGAGCAAGCTCTACTCCTCCCCTTTCCTCTACACACTTCCTCCACCTACGCCTCCCTCCCTCCCACTCAGTAAACTACCACACCCCTCTCTTCTTCCTTCCCTTGCCACTTCTACTTCTCACCTGTTAAGTTTACCCTCTCTTCTCCACCAGTCCCCCTTCATTTCAAGCTCCTCCCTCCACTTTGTTCCTCGTGTGAGCCAGTTTGGGGGTATAAAGGTATGCTAATGTGAAGAAACCTAACTTTTCTGCTCCGGGGAGTGAGGAAGACACGAGGCAGACGCAACAGAGCAAACAGAGGGACTGTCTGAGAGAGGAAAACTGCAGTTTAAAAAGACAATTGGACTGAATTCTCGCAGACTTCCTCTGCAACCATGGGGCTGGGAGTGAGTATACAACTCTGTCACATGTTTTGGCCTAACTTTCTAAGAGTCTTTAGTTTTAGACTTGTTACGATTCCCAGTTTTTAAGCTTAGATCAAGTTACTGCTTCCTCTTAACAGCCGACATTACTTAATTTTGAGAGACGCTCTTAGGAGTCTCTGAAACCCCTTAAACTTTTCCATACGGAGAGTTTTACGAGCACATTCCTCTTTAAGAACGACCAACATAACGTATAGCGCATGTTTGAACAGCGACAGTGCCACTCCTTGGCGCCACAAAAGAGGAAGTCTCTTACATGTACTCAGTGTCATGCTTATTGTGCTTTTATATGTTTTCCTTCTGCTATTCAGAGAGGGACGGATGGCGAGGAAAAGAAAAGCAAAAAAGGAGGCAAAGGGGAGAAAGGGATGGATGATCTGAAGAAAGAAGTTGACATAGTAAGTACACGAAGAAATGGAAAAGCAGTGCGCCCTCATGCCAGGGTGGAAAATTTGTCTGAATCACTGCGCTTGAGTAAAACAGGCATCAAATTCACAAAGATGACTCATACAGGCCGTGGTCACACTCGTGGTCACAGCTGAGACTTACTCCTAAATCATGTGAATATAGATCCGCCAAGGCTCTTATCAGGATTGTCTCCAGAGTAGTTTGATCTGTAAATAACTTTATCAGCCACAGCCACACAGGTCCTGAAATAAAAAGGTGTGAATATTTGCAGACTGGTGGACACACCTACTTTATGAAGACCCGAAACACAGAGTTGATGTGAGGACCCGGTTGTAATTCCAAAGCCGAAGATAATGATGGTTATTCCAAGTGGAAAGTTGGACTTTTGAGGGTCTAAACATGTCCTGAAACTTACCTGACTTTGCAGGTGTTGTAGGCCCAGTGAAAAATTCCAAATCTTCCCATATCCAAGCAGAACTAAGATGGTCACGGACAAAAATCCACAGGTTCCCGTTGTGTCAAAGACATAAAAACTCCGAACTGTTTGACTTTTCTTTTTTCTTATAAAAACAACATTGTTGTTACAACCTCTGCAACGGATCCACACCCAGCTACCGCCAAGCCCCCACATGTATTGAACCCTGATGTGCGCAAAGGTGCCAGGACACGCCCAAAGCTGCTTGTAGCTTCATTGTGATTTTGGAATTTCCTGCGTTGAACAGTTGCTCTTAATTTCAACGGAGTCAGCTTTGTTCTGGATCTGTTGGTAATTTTCCAACATCCCAGGCACTTAAAATCAGGGGAAAAAAAGGTCAGCAAATAATTTGACACCAAGGGACGGATTTACCAAGATGACAAATAACGAGTACAAAGCTGTGTGTTCATCACGTCGAGAAGAAGAACTCTGTTATTCAAAAAGAAGACCCCAGAGAAGAGAGAGACGCAATTTCCCGTGTGTTGACAATGACGTTAAGAGGAAATACTTTCTATGTTTATATTGTTTGTCTCACTGCATTCCTCAGGATGTTGCAAGAGTTCAGGTCTCCTCTCAGAAAACAGAGTCTTCTGCGGAACTTGAAAATTCAGATTCATGTTCTGCTCTACTGCATTGCGTGCAAAGATTACAGCATTTAAGCCGTTATGGAAAATATGAGGTAGGAGGCAGATATCATCACAGATCATCGGAATTACAATCTATTCATTCACTGGCTGGAGGCCTTTTTTTTTAACAACAGTGCCCGGGCATGATTGTGCCTGCATCGCTGGAATTTAACTTCCAGATAAACTTTGGTTTGCGTTTGATCTTTACTCTCAAAGGAAGATTTGTACAGTATAATAAAACTAGAAAAGCACTTGGAGAGCGCAGATCTCCGCCAAGCAGCTCATGTCCCCCCTTATATTGTGATTCACACCAAAACTTTTACTGTTACTTGTCTTTTATTAACTTTATTTGTGTTTAAACTGGTATGTTCACTGTTCATAATGTTCCTAAAACAAGAAAAGCCCTGACCAGGATTTGAACCCAGACCATTCTGGTTGTGAGGCGACAGTGCTAACCACTACACCACTGTGCCGCCTATCTACACCACTGTGCCGCCCATTGGTTATCTTTTAGCACTGAAAATTCCAACGACACCCTTATATTTGTGTGTTCTGGATCACAGTATCCAGAAGTTTGTCCGGATCACCAACAAAATTTAATGGGAGACGCACCTCTGGTGAAAATTTCGGGTCAATCCATCTGTTACTTTCTCCGTAAAGTTGCTAACAGACAAACAGACAAACCAATTCTACCGAAAACATAACCTCCTTGGCGGAGGTAACCAGATGGGTGATGCTGATGGGACTGAATAGATTGAGTCCTCCCATGTGGACCAAGTTTATCTCACTTTTGGAATCATCAGCATGTTTTGAGATTTCCAGATTGTTGCCTGGTCCAGGTGTCATCTTTGATTCCCTTTCCCTCTCTCCTTAGGATGATCACAAGCTGTCCCTGGATGAACTTCACGAAAAGTATGGAACTGACCTCACCCAGGTAACCCTGCAGTGGAGCACCTCTAAGTCTACTACACACAATCACAATGGTCGTATCACATTTTAACCTATTGTTTCCTATGTTGCGATGATTCCAAAATCATCCCTCACCTTGTTTTTGTGTCTCTGATCAGGGTCTTACCACGGAAAGAGCAAGAGAGGTCCTGGCCCGGGACGGCCCAAACACCCTCACACCTCCTCCAACCACACCCGAATGGGTCAAGTTTTGTAAGCAGGTAAAAATCGCCTTGAAGTGGAAATGCCCAGATGGTTAAAAAAAAACGTAGATACATCTTCCAGTAGTACCAGAAGAGTCCTGAATCAGTCTTTTTGTTTCTTTTGATTCTAGCTCTTCAGCGGTTTCTCCATGCTGCTGTGGATCGGAGCTTTCCTTGGCTTCCTCGCTTACGGCATTGAGGTTGCCACAACAGATGAACCTGCTAATGATAATGTAAGGACTTCTCCACCTGTACTTGAGGAGTTACACCCACCATAAATGATTGACTGACTGTTTTCTCTCGCTGCAGTTGTACCTGGGTATTGTGCTCACTGCTGTCGTCGTCATCACTGGTTGCTTCTCTTATTACCAAGAGTCCAAGAGCTCCAAGATTATGGACTCCTTCAAGAACCTGGTCCCACAGGTGAGCTTTTCCCGTCATTTCCCCCCCCTGTATAAACAATCTTCAACGAAAGAGCTTATTATTGAGTCCTCTGTTTCAAAATTTGTCCCACAGCAAGCCCTTGTTATCCGTGACGGTGAAAAGATGAGTATCAACGCCGAAGAGGTGGTGTCAGGAGATCTGGTGGAGGTGAAGGGTGGAGACAGGGTCCCTGCAGATCTGAGAGTCATCTCTGCTCATGGCTGCAAGGTTTGTCCCTCAAAGAACCGCTATAATCCACTTTATATTCCAAAGGCAGATCAGAAAGTCATGTTCACTGTAGGTGCTGGTTTGAAGGTACAAAGGTTTCCATCAAGTGTTCTGACATGTAGCTCATCTGGTTTCCCTCCCCTCTCCTAAATCCTCTCCCACCCAAGCAGAATTAAGAGCTTTGGGTACGACAGCTCAAAAGAAAGTCTTCTGTTGACTGACTTTTCTTTCTCTCATGAATACACCACTGTTGGCTCAGTTTGTACAACTGCTCCACACCCTGATAACGGCCATCCCCCTACATGCATTGCACTCTGATGTCTGTCAAGGTGCCAGGGCACGCCCAAAGCTGCTTGAACATGATTTCGAAATTTCATGTTTAACAGTTGCTCTAAATTACATGTTGCAAATCTGTAGCTGGTTTTGGTTGTTCTCCAAAGTCACAGGCCCTCTGGCATCAAATTCACTCTGAAGTTAAAGGTGGGGTCGGCAGGATTCCATTAAAGAAGCATCTTTTTTTGTGGTGTATTTACAAAAAAGCTTTAAATATCAGTCAAAACCTATTAGTTATTGATGACATTTGGGAATATCAAGATATCTTTGTGTTCTCTTATGTCTGTGTAGTCAACATTTGAACATTTTTTGAGTGGCCCGCTCTTTCTGACTGTAAACAAAGCCGTTCTCCGCCTCCCCCAACCTGATTGGTTGTGAGGCGGATGCTACTCTTCTGTGTCGTTCATGAGCCCAAACAAAATTATGTGCTACAAAAGTGGACAATAGAAACCAACCATAAAGTACGGAATATTGTCTGAATCCATCTTTGGCCACGACTGCCGACACAAGTAAGAAAACAAAGTAAATATGGGAGACTCTAGCAGAATAACGCTTATAAAAGAGGTAGACCGGACAAGAGCTAAGAAGCCAGGTCAACATCAGCATAACCGATGGGGGAGGCTTCAGGATCTTGGTGACCCTGTAACCTTTCTGCTGGACAGGTAAACCGCTTTAACAAAGTAAGACAAGTGTCTGTAACAGAAGTGTTTCTTGTCAAACGGACCTGCTGTAGCGTGTTGTAGCGCCGCTAAACTGTTTACCTCAGGTCCAGGACTATGTCACTTTATCCTAGATGTAGAAGTCCTGCAAACATTGTGTTTGCTGGTAGTCTGTTGGCATCTACAGTAGCACCAGTGCTTTTTACTTTCACGTCGACTGGGCCCCTGTTGGCTGGGCCTCTGTTTGTGGGCGGGGCTTGCTGAAGCAGAGAGGGAGGGGAGAGGAGGAACTGAGGGACAAACTGGTTGGGAGGGGTAGAGTTTACATTCAAGATTTATCCCAAAAACTGGCACTTCCTCAGACCCTGCCTACCCCACGTTTAATACAGTAAAAGTTCTCTGACTGATTTCACACCAGCTATTGTATAACCGATGTACTTTTGTTTGCTTTTTATTGGAAACTGAGAACAAACTAATTACTGTGCTCTGGAGGTCATAAAACAGTCAATCCTCGCTAGAATGTAAATCCAAACATCCAAACCATTCATGTCACTTCACTTCACTGCAGACATTTGTGTTCCAGTGCTAAAGCTTTTACACTTCCAGGTCGACAACTCCTCCCTCACTGGCGAGTCCGAGCCCCAAATTCGTACACCGGACTTCTCCAATGAAAATCCTCTGGAGACCAGGAACATTGTTTTCTTCTCCACCAACTGTGTTGAAGGTAAAAAACTTAATTACTCAGGGTTAAGTTTCAAAATCAGTGTCCTGTCTAAGGTGCTTCAGCCTGCCTGCTCTTCCTGTTTCCTCTGCAAACTCCTTGGCAACCTCCATCCTAGCTCCTCCTTTTTATGACATGTCTGATTTTACCAGTGTCATATGCATTGCCACTGATGCATGCTCTCTTCTCTACCCTAAGGGTCTTTGCTGCTGCTCTTCCTACCTTGACATTTGTGGATGCACATGAAACAGAAGGGAGGTGCGCTCTAGTCGCTCCACATGCACAAGTGGAAAGGCTGGAACTTCCCAGAACAACTTGCTGCATGAAAACAACTGCAGTAAGTTGCCTGCTTTGTTCTGTAACCTAAGGGTCTTTGCTGCTGCTCTTCCTTCCTTGGCTTTATGTATTAAAGGTAATTAATTCTATTTGATGAAAGTGGTCCTAACAGACATTTTCTCCAGGTACCGCCAGAGGGATTGTCATCAACACCGGAGACCGTACCGTCATGGGTCGAATCGCCACCCTCGCTTCCAGCCTTGAAGGCGGCAAAACCCCCATCGCCGTCGAGATCGAGCATTTCATTCACATCATCACCGGTGTGGCCGTCTTTATTGGTGTCTCCTTCTTCATCCTCTCGCTCTGCCTTGGGTACAATTGGCTGGAGGCCATCATCTTCCTCATCGGTATCATCGTCGCTAACGTGCCTGAAGGTCTCCTGGCTACTGTCACTGTGAGTTCTGGTGTCACGTGTTGCGTGTTTTTGAACAGGATATGTGGAAGTTAAATTAATCATATGGAAATGATGTTTGGCTCTAGGTGTGTCTGACTCTGACCGCCAAGCGTATGGCCAAGAAGAACTGCTTAGTGAAGAACCTGGAAGCCGTGGAGACCCTGGGATCCACCTCCACCATCTGCTCCGATAAGACCGGCACTCTGACCCAGAACAGGATGACTGTGGCTCACATGTGGTTTGACAACCAGATCCACGAGGCCGACACCACCGAGAACCAGAGCGGGAACTCTTTTGATAGGAGCTCGGCCACCTGGTCCGCCCTGTCCAGGGTTGCTGGGCTCTGTAACCGTGCCGTCTTCCTGGCTGATCAGCACGACGTCCCCATCCTGAAGGTGAAAATCTACCAGTATGCAACATTGGCCTACAAAGCTCTCCACAACCAGTTTCAAACCCACTAATATGGAGTAACTCTTCACACATAACTGTCATGGAGAAGTTGTGGTGTCCAGATAATTGGGCTGTTAGTAGTTGCTCTTCGCCAATAATATGTTCTAAGGGAGTTCAGTCATATCAGAACAAAACTTGTATACATGTATTCTCCATGATGCTGTTGCTAGGATACAGACTCAACATCCTGAGGTGTACTAAGATCAGGAGACCTTAACCGTGTCACTATCTCGTCTCACCTGACTGGATGTTGACTGTCCTACAAGAGAGAACTTTTGATGAGATTCCAGACAAATGAATTTCCTTTAAGGGATGAGTAAATTTCTTGTATTGTATATTTATCTGTCCCTCATCCACAGAGAAACACAGCTGGTGACGCCTCAGAATCCGCTCTGCTGAAGTGCATCGAGCTGTCCTGCGGATCAGTCAGCGGCATGAGGGAAAAATACCCAAAGCTTGCCGAGATTCCCTTCAACTCCACCAACAAATACCAGGTACACATCTGGAAAAGTTTCCCATAATACTCCAACTCAAATGTCTATTTTATTAGTTTATCTCAGCAGGCAAAGAAAGACAAAACAAGGACCCAAACTGAAAACTGAAAAGTTCAACTAGACGAAAAACACAGAAGGAAAAAACAAAATAATTTTACTTTCAAAATGTCCAACTAAACAAAAAATACTGGCAAAAACCACAAGGTCAAGGTGAAGTTTGTGGGGCGATTGTTGATTTATGTCTCCATGTGGTTGTGCTACCTCAAATTTCCCCTGATTTATTTTTCAAAAATAGTTGTTTGACTGAGAGAAAAACATCACTGTAGACTTAATTAAAAAAGGTTTTAACCAGAGTTCCTTGTCCCATAGCTCTCCATCCACACGAACACAACACCAGGTGAAACCAAGCACCTGCTGGTCATGAAAGGAGCCCCTGAGAGGATTATGGACCGCTGCTCCACCATCATGCTCTCTGGCAAAGAGCAGCCTCTAGATGAAGAGATGAAGGATGCTTTCCAGAGTGCTTATGTTGATCTGGGAGGACTTGGAGAGAGAGTGCTGGGTATGAACACGTGGCTTCACACATTTAAGTCTTGATTACATGATGAAGAAATCAGAAATCAGACCCCTGACTAGCGTTTCTTTCCCACAGGTTTCTGCCACTTTCAACTTCCTGATGACCAGTTCCCAGATGGCTTTGCTTTTGACACTGAAGACGTGAATTTCCCCACTGAGAACCTGTGCTTCATCGGCCTCATGGCCATGATTGACCCTCCTCGTGCCGCTGTGCCAGATGCTGTTGGAAAATGCAGGAGCGCTGGAATCAAGGTACCAAACTGAAGTCTTTTCAGGTTCAAGTTTCAGATGGTCTGTGTGAACCTCATCAAAAATGTACACCCTCAGAAATTTCCAGACAAGGCAAATAAACTGACCTTAACTTTTAGGTATTTTTCAGTTTCAACTTTTATCTAAAAAACTCTTAATTTCTTGTCTTCAGGTCATCATGGTCACAGGTGACCATCCCATCACAGCTAAGGCTATTGCAAAAGGTGTGGGTATCATCTCAGAGGGCAACGAGACCGTTGAAGACATTGCCGCTCGCTTGAACGTACCAGTGTCAGAAATCAACCCGAGGTCAGTGACTCAACAAAGCTTGGACCTGAGGGTTCAGTTCAGAAAATGTTTGATTGTTTACGTTTATTGTACCTCTTGTCCAGTTTAAGGATGTTAAAAACAACTAATAGTCCACTGCTGTTATGATTTCCTTTCTAGGGATGCCAAAGCCTGCGTCGTCCACGGTGGCGAGCTGAAAGACATGACCTCAGAGCAACTCGATGATGTGCTGAAATACCACCCTGAAATCGTTTTCGCCAGAACCTCTCCTCAGCAGAAACTGATCATCGTGGAAGGTTGCCAGAGACAGGTACGATCATAAAGATGCGTCCAAAGACATCTTCCATGCTTGATCGTCTGTTTTTGTTGGAAATCCTACGAGTATCTTGTTTTCTTTCCTCAGGGAGCCATTGTAGCTGTAACAGGTGACGGTGTGAACGACTCTCCCGCTCTGAAGAAGGCCGACATCGGTGTTGCCATGGGTATCGCCGGATCTGACGTCTCCAAGCAGGCGGCTGACATGATCCTGCTGGACGACAACTTTGCCTCCATCGTTACTGGAGTGGAAGAAGGTAAGACCTGAACCTGCAGAGTTGTGAAAGTGGAGACCACAAAAAGCATCATGTAACTGGATTTCCTCTCTTTTCTAGGCCGTCTGATCTTTGACAACTTGAAGAAGTCCATCGCCTACACCCTGACCAGTAACATCCCCGAGATCTCACCCTTCCTGCTTTTCATCGTCGCCAACATCCCGCTGCCTCTGGGAACCGTCACCATCCTCTGTATCGACCTGGGAACTGACATGGTAAACTACCTAAAGGAATTATTCTTCAGGGACATCAAAACACGTTCTGGGAAGTTAAACTGCATCTGTTCTCTCTCAGGTTCCTGCCATCTCCTTGGCTTACGAAGCAGCTGAGAGCGACATCATGAAGAGACAGCCCAGAAACCCCAGAAGAGACAAACTTGTGAATGAGAGGCTCATCAGTATGGCCTATGGACAGATCGGTAAGCATCTCGTGATGCCTAATTCTAATTGGCGGATCAGAAATTTTTTGTGAAACTTCTGTGGAAGATCCATCTGATTGAAACCATTTCTCCTTTTTAAGGTATGATGCAGGCCGTAGCTGGGTTCTTTACATACTTCGTGGTCATGGCTGAAAATGGTTTCCACCCAACGGACCTTATAGGTACCAGAAAATCCTGGGACGACAGAAACGTACAGGACGTGGTGGACAGTTACGGACAGGAGTGGGTCAGTACCAACAATTATCCCATTTTTTTTTCTCCCAGTTTCATTTTGTTTTTGTACTCAATTCACAAAAAATGGAAGTTAAAGTTAAAAACATGAGCTAGATACGTTGTATGAGTGTTTGGCAATGTCAGAAGGAGTTAGAGAAGAAAGCAAGCTGGTGAAGAAAATAGGTTTGGAGGACAGGTGGAGCTTGATGTCATCCTTATAGCAACGAAAATACATGTTGAATTCACAAAAGATAAGGCCAAGACACAGTAAAGATAAACCAAATAGGACCCAGGAAAGAACCCTGGGGAACACCAGTAGTGAGAACGGATGTTTGATTGCACCTTATGAAACAAAAAAACATTATAAGTAAGTTGAAGCATTTACAGAAAATAAGACCAGGACACAAAAGGTTTATTATGAACTGAAGAGGACCCTGGAAAGAACCCTGGGGAACACCAGTAGTGACATAAAATAGCTTGAATTTTGACAGTTTCTCATCCAACTCCTTTCTTCGTCTCTTTGGTCATTACCATGCCAACAGTGGGGCAAACAGGGGTTTAACTGTGAGTTAGTTCACCACGTGGAGTGCTGCTTTGATTGAGAAGATTCCACAACTCCAAGAAAGAAGTGAGAGGGAAGTTGAGGACAAAAACTAACTCGCTCAAGCTCAAAGAAAATCTGCTCATCCTTGAAATGTTCTCTCTATCAGACATACCAGCACAGAAAGGTCCTGGAGTACACCTGCCACACAGCTTTCTTTGTCAGTATTGTGGTCGTGCAGTGGGCTGATCTGATCATCTGTAAGACCAGGAGGAACTCCATCGTGCAGCAAGGAATGAAGTACGTATGAATCGGCACAGATAGTAGAAGAAATGACATCAATGACATATGACTGGAGGGTAAAATTTGGTTAGTAAAAATTAGACTCAGTACCAATTATTTGTCTTTTCCTTTTCTAGGAACCGTATCCTCATCTTTGGTCTGTTTGCGGAAACGGCTCTTGCTGCTTTCCTTACTTACTGCCCGGGCATGGACATTGCCCTAAGAATGTACCCTCTTAGGTAAGTCAGAACACATAATCACATCAGAGGTGTGATTTTTCTGGATTTATCCAAGAAGTTGGATTTCGCCCAGATGGGTCAGTAGTGAGAACCATAAAAACTGTTGGAGAAAGGGGATAAACTATGAATGGAGCTTTAAAGATAGGACCATACTTTCTTTTAAGTATCCATCTCTTTTTTTCAGGCCAAGTTGGTGGTTCTGTGCCTTCCCCTACTCCCTCCTCATCTTCGTGTACGATGAAGCTAGAAAATATCTCATCAGACGCTACCCGGGTGGTAAGACCCTCATTGAAGCTTTCTGTTTCTTTTTAAACTTTTGTTCCAAAAATCTGCTTTTCTGTGTCAAGAGGTCTCTGAAATAGAGGACAGAGATTACAAAAAAGTCCTCTTAGTCAATTTTGTCCCTGCCTTGGTCAACAAAGAGGTTTCATGTGATCCAAACCTTCAATTGAAAATCATTAAAATTTCTGTTTAACACACTCATATTTTCCTGAAATCCTTGTAGTTTTCCAAAAGTTTAATAGCAAAAGTCGTTTCAAAGACTTTCTCAAATTTCTGTCAAAAGTTTCCTAAAAATATTCCCATTGAAATTTCAAAAACATTTCCCAAATTCCCAAAGTACCCTTTTGTATTTTTTCCTGAAAATTTTCCAAAGCTTTTGCTAATTTTTTCATAACTGTTAGTTGTATGTTTTGATAAGGTTCCCACAAATTTTTGATTTTTGAACTTGATTTCCAGAACTGTTATTTAAAATTCCAAAAGTATTTGAATATTAAATAATAGTTCCTTCCAACTGACTTTTAAGGTTTTAAAAGCTTTCCCCAAAATATTTCCAATATTCCCCTTTTTAAAAAAAAAAGTTTGCCAAATTTGTCTCCAGAAATTCTTAAAAGAATTTTAAAATCTTTTCAAAATTTCAAATGGATTCAGGAAAGATTTCTGAAAATTTGTACAAAATTTCAATTTTTTCATTCTTATTAATTTTCAGGTTCCATTTGTTTGAAAAGTTTTGAACATTTTTGAATGTCAGTCCTTATTCTTTGTTGAATATTTCCCAAAATTTAAACATATTTAACAAAGTTTTCCAGGAATAACTGATTTTAATTCCTTAATTTTTCCTAAAGCATGTTTTATCTAGGTTTGTCCAATACCCTGAAAAGTTGCAGGAAGTTTTCCCTACTTCTCTGTAGAATGTTTTCAAATAAATCAAAAGAGATTTCTCAGAAAGTTAAAAAAAAGGATTTTAAATCGTTTAAAATTCCACAAGCTTTATCCTCCAAAAATCCAGAAAGTCCCCCCAAAATTTACTCAACTGTAAGTCCTGAAAATTGTAAATGAAGATTCTTGCAGATTCATTGTGACAAATAAAAACTCAATAAAAACTTTCTAAAGTTAAAGACCTCAAATGTGTCCCTAATTGTGTCTCCTTTGTTTTCTTTTAGGTTGGGTGGAACAGGAGACATACTACTGAGTCAACAGAAACGCAGGAGAATCAGTCCATTTTTCCACCGTTATTTACTGCCATGTTAAATATTTGTCTGAAATGTCAGACGAGATAAAACAAGGATAAATTAAGAGAATCTTGATGTAAATGTTGTTTTCAATTAAAAACTTCCTGAATATTCTAAATCCACGCTGCTTGGTGTTTCTTTTTTATATCAAATATCACTGAAGTGTTCTCCACAGGGGAAAAAAAAACAGAAGTGTCTGATGTAACGTCAATATTATTTTACAAAAAAATCATGAGAATTAAAACATTGCACAAAAGAAAGAAATGTCCAAAACTCGTGTTTTTTCTGGTGTTGCAATAACTAAAGGGTGTAAGACTGTATTTTTAGTTGTTTCACAAATAATGTGACTGCAACTTTTTTGTACAAATTTTGTAGCAATTCAGCTTGTCAACGTTTATACGGTCCAACTCATTCATACCAGTATGTTTCACATTTCTGCTTCTTACACTTTTGGAATCATACCGCTTTATTTAAAGGTTAAAGATTTTTTTTATTTATTTATAGAAATATCATTCTCATGAAGTGTCCCAAAAATAGCATTCAATTACAAAAACGAAACTTGAGCTTATCTCAACCTTCTCTTAATGATAACCCTTTATGGGGTTCAGGTCAGGTGAACTGGCTGGCCAATCAAGCACAGTAACACTGTATTCAGTGTGCCAGTATCTGGTAGCTTTGGTGCTGTGGGCAGAGTAAGATAACTGAATGGAGCTTTCTTCATGGCAGACAAGAAACTGGACTTTTCCACAAAATTGTAAAGTTTTGAGATAGTGGATTTTTGATATAGATTAATATATGGAAGTTTCACTTTTTGAGCTAAATAATGGGGGGAAATCACCTTTTTAGGAACCATTTAACCTCATGAGCAGCACCTGAACAATAAATCATTCACATGGTGGATTCTCTGGTGCTCAAGCGTGTGAGCTGTGTGTCCTCCAAACCACAAACCCACAGCTTGTAAAGGTCGAATTACATCCCAGACGAGCAGAGGTTGATCCTTACTGGAAGCTGGAGGACGGACATGCACTGTCACACTTCATGAATGAAAGACGGGGGAGAACATGAGGACGTCATCTATACCCCTCCCCCTCTTTTCTACGCATACCACCTCCACCAATGCCTGTCACCCACTACAACCAGACCCCTTCCTCTTTCTCTGGCACCTCTTCTTCTCACCCGTCCATTTTAACCCCTCTCGTCATACCGCCCCCACCCAGTCCAAGCTCCTCCCCAACTCTAACAATGTTAGAGCAACCTAGGAAAAGAGTGAGAGTGAGAGAGAGAGTGTGTGGGAGAGAAAGAGGCGGGGAAGGAAATCTGCAATCTATCACAACAACTGGATTGAGTGTCTTCAGACTTCCTCTGCAACCATGGGGCTTGGAGTAAGTATCGAACTCTGTCACATATTTTGGTTTTATTTGTAAGTGTTTTTAGGTCAGACTTGTTATGATCTTCAGTTTTTGGACTCAGACCAAGTTACTGTTGACAGTTGGGGATTGCCTAAAGCTCTTTGTCCTGAAATCTCCTGTGCAGCATGCATTTGAAGGGGCCTCAGCAACCCCTTAAACTTTTCCATACTGAGAGTTGTTTGAGCATATTTCCTCTGAGATTACCTAAAACAGAGGTTGCAGCATGTTTCATAACAGCACTGTTGGCCTTGTTTGCGGTTTGTAGTAATGTCACGAGAGAGGAAGTGTTTTTATTGTGCTCAGTGACATGCACAAGCTTATCATATTTCACTTTCTTTAATCCAGAGCGCCAGAGATGAGTATCACTTGGCTGCAATGTCAGATGGAGGAAAAATGGATGATCTGCATCTGGTAAGTGCACAAAAAAAAAAAAAAAAAAACGGTATGTCCCAGTGCAGGGCCGGAAACAAGTGTATGAATCACTCTCTTGTCTCATGAAAAATCCCCTCTCAATTACCCTCACACACTCTCTTTGTCCATAGGATGATCACAAGCTGTCCCCGGATGAAGTCCTCAAAAAGTATGGGACTGACCTCACCCATGTAAGTATGCGCTGTTTGTCAGTCAGTCAGTGAAGATCCTTGAAGTCTACTGCACTCACCCCAGTCACAGGGGAGATGCTGGCCTGACTTTTTTGATCTTTTGAGGATCGCAAGTGCAGCGATTAGCATCATTTAAATCTACACTGAACTGTCCCAGTGTTTAGCATCTTGAACTTGAACACAAAGAAGAATATTGTGAGCCTCCAGGAACGTGAATGTGGTTTCTCCCCGAGGTATGTTTGGAATGGCTCTGGCCTGTTGTCAGGTCCTTAAACCTTGACCCTAAAGTGAGGATGGGTCAGGAAACCTTACGTCATTGCTCAGAGCTTCTTAGTGGCTGACAAGAAAATAATCCAAGAGGGCGTCCCATTGGTCCATGACTTTTGGTGCGTCCACCTATCAAACAACTCATTACAGTTTAGGTCCACAAAATCGTGTCATGTCATGTCATATTGTGCCGTATCATTTCATAATGTATGGCATCTTATCGTATTATGTTGTATCATCTTTTCATAGCATAGCGTATCATGTTATTTTACCATATAGCATCCTATCGCTATGTATTGTGTAAAACGTAACGATCACATCCATCCAATTGTATCAGATCAAAATGACCTTAGTGATCATATTGTATTGTATCTTATCATGTAATGACTGTATTGTTTTGTATCGTATCCAACATAATGATCGTATTTTATTGTATTGTATCATAATGATCGTATCGTGTTGCACTTTGTCATCTTGTACTGCCTTGTTTTGTTTTCCATCGTAACTTATCATAGTGTATAGCATTGCATCGTATCTTATGCTGCGTTCAAGTTACCTCAGAAGTCCGAGCTGAAAATGACGTCACACCCAAGTTACTGGCGTTTCAGTTATCAAGTCGAAATATATAAGCAAGGACAAGACAAGCACTAAAATAACTTTTTTAGATGTAGCCATCTTGTTTTCACCTCCGATTTTGCTTTTTTCCGACTTGGTAACTGAAATGCTGGGAACTCGGGTGTGACGTCATTTTCAGCTCAGACTTCCGAGGTAACTTGAACACAGCATTATTATCCAATTGTTAAGTTCTGTATCTTTTTGTGTTGTTATGTATCACATTGCAATTTTGTGTCCTTTCTTTTTTAATTCAAAAATCATCCCTCACCTTATATTTTTGTGTCTCTGTTCAGGGTCTTTCCATTCTGAGAGCAAAAGACAACCTGGCCCGTGATGGCCCAAATGTGCTCTCACCTTTTCCTACGACTTCTCCAATTCTCAAGTTCTTTAAGCAGGTAAAAGTCGTCTTTCAGTAAAAAATCAACACACCTCTTTTGTATATTCAGATGGTAAAAAAATCACTCTCTCAATTTTTCTTGATTCTAGCTCTCCAGTTGTTTCTCCATTCTGCTCTGGGTCAATGCCATTCTTAGCTTCCTTTCTTATGCTGGCGAGCTTGCCTTCATAGAAGAACCCACCAATCACAGCGTAAGGAAGCTTCAAATGTACAATTCAAACTTACAACACATCAGCGAATGAATAACTGTTTGTTCTTTCTTGCTGCAGCTGTACTGGGGTGTTTTTCTCATTGCAATCATCATCTTCTCTGGTTGCTTATATTGTTACCAAGAGGCCAAAAGCTCCAGGATTACGGACTCCTTCAAGAACCTGGTCCCACAGGTGTTTTTTTCCCCACCATTTTTCCCCATATATGCAACCCTTGCCAAAGGAGCTTATTTTTGAGTCCCTTGTTTCCAAATTTGTCCCACAGCAAGCTGTCGTTATCCGTGATGGTCAAAAGCTGACCATCAATGCGAAAGAGGTGGTTGTGGGAGATCTGGTGGAAGTGAGGGGCGGAGACAGGATCCCTGCAGATCTTAGAATCATCTCTGCTCATGGCTGCAAGGTTTGTATCTTGAAGACTCGCTATAATCTTTATGTCTATATTGATATGTGCCAGGGATCCTTCCGGAAGGACAACTTCACCTTGAAATGTTACCAAAAGCTAGAGTTTTGTCCGAGGGAGCAGCCCTCAAGTAGTTTCAATACTAAAGTCACTCAATGGTGTCTAATTCTTGCTTGACTTCTACACTTTCAGATCGACAACTCCTCTCTCACTGGTGAATCTGAGTACCAAATTTGTACTCCAGACTTCTCCAGTGACAACCCTTTGGAAACCAGGAACATTGCTTTCTTCTCCACCAACTGTGTTGAAGGTAGAGAACTATCAACACAAATTTGCAGAGTCAAAGCAATTTGGTTTCAAATTTTTAAGCCGCTTTGCAACCTCCACCCGTGCTCATTCGTTTTCTTCTGTGTCTGATTTTACCAGTGTCATGTGCATTACCATCGATGCTTGCTCTGTTTGTTCAGTAACCTAAGGGTCTTTGCTGCTGCTCACCCTGCCTTGGCTTTTACAGATGCACATGAAACAGAAGGAAGGTGTTCCGCACTCGCCTCTGGCTTTGGCATTCCACCTACAGATTTGGAAGGGCTGGAGCTCTAATAAAACCATCCATCCAAATTTAACATACCGCATGAAAGTGATCAATTCTATTTGCTGAAAATGGTCCTGACTAAATAACTGAGACAATGTTCCAACATTCTCTAGGTACTGCCAGAGGTATTGTCATCAAAACTGGGGACCGTACCGTCATGGGTCGTATCGCCAACCTCGCCTCCAGTGTTCAGGGCAGGCAACCCCCCATTGTTAATGAGATCCGGCATTTGATTAACATCATCATTGGCATGGCTGTCTCCATTGGTATCATAGTCTTTCTCGCCTGCTTCATCCTGGGGTACTCTTGGCTGGAGGCCATCATCTTCCTCATTGGTGTCATTTTTGCCAATGTGCTAGAATGTCTCCTGGCTACTATCACTGTGAGTTCTGGCGCCAAATTTTTAGAGTTTTTGAACAGGATACATGGAAGTTTAATTAATTATATGGAATTGATGTTTGGCTCTAGGTGTGTCTGACTCTGACTGCAGAGCGTTTGGCCAAGAAGAACTGTCTGGTGAAGAGCCTGGAAGCCGTGGAGACCCTGGGATCCACCTCCATCATCTGCTTTGATAAAACCGGCACCCTGACCCAGAACAGGATGACTGTTGCTCACATGTGGTTTGACAACCAGATCCAAGACCCAGAAACAGCCGAGAACCAGAGCGGGACCTCCTTTGACAAAAGCTCAGCCACCTGGTCCGCCCTGTCCAGGGTCGCTGGACTCTGTAACAATGCTGTCTTCCTGGCTGATCAGAGCAACGTCCCCATCATGAAGGTGAGAATCTACCAGCCTACAAAGCTCTCCTGTTTGCTTCACTTCACCTATTCTGATCATCACAAAGGTGTCTAAATAATTCACCAGTAGAGGAGGATATCAATAACATCAGCTCAAAGTGTCACGCTGTCTTCCAGGCCGAGTTTGGATATGTCAGTTTGTCTCTTTTCCACAGAGAAATACAGCTGGTGACGCCTCAGAAGCCGCCCTGCTAAAGTGTATCGAGCTATCCTGTGGACCAGTCAGCACCATGAGAGACAAATACCCCAAGATTGCTGAGATTCCCTTCAACTCCACCAACAAATACCATGTACGCATCCTGGCAACATCTCCTTTGGCTCTGTTTTGCCATAGTTTTTTGCTTGAGAGAATACCATCACTGCAGACATGAATGACATAGATATTAAACTGCAGTACCTTGTCCCATAGCTTTCTATCCATAAGAACACAACACCAAGTGGAAGCAAGCACCTGCTGGTCATGAAAGGAGCCCCGGAGATAATTTTGGATCACTGCTCCGGCATCATGATTGGGGGTACAGAGCAGACTTTGGATGCCAAGATGAGGGATGCTTTCCATAATGCGTACGTCAGGCTGGGAGGACTTGGAGAGAGAGTGTTGGGTATGAAGTTGTGGCTTCACACTTACGTCTTGACGACATGGTGAAGAAATCAGACCCCTGACCGGCTTTTCTTTCCTGCAGGTTTCTGCCACTTACAACTGCCTGATGACCAATTTCCAAGGAACTTTGTTTTTAACACTGAAGAGGTGAACTTCCCCACTGACAACCTGTGCTTCATCGGCCTCATGTCCATGATTGACCCTCCTCGTGCTGGTGTGCCTGACGCTGTTGGCAAGTGCAAGAGCGCTGGAATCAAGGTATGAAACTGAAGTCTTTTTACGTGTCCAGCCAAAGAAAGTTTCAAACGGTCTGTGTAAACCGCATCAAAAATTTACATCTGAGAAACTTCCAGACAGTGCAAATATTTTGACCTAAACTTTCAGGTATTTTCCAGTTACAACTCTTAAGCAACTTTTTTGCATGAAGGATCCACATGCTATGTGGGTTCCCTTAAGGTCCCCCGGCTTCCTCCCACTGTACAAAAACATGCCTGTCAGGTTAATTGGTCTCTTGAGATTGCCTGTATGTATGGGTATCTGTTTGTATATGCCAGCCCTGTGATAAACTAATCTGTTGAGGGTGTACCCTGCCTCTTGTCCAATGACAGCTCAGATACAGAACTCCCATGACTCCAAACAAAGAAGTTGTAAAGATAATCGATGTATGAATGGAACCTTAATCTAAAAAACAGTCATGGTTTTGAAATCTTGTCTTAATTTCTTGTCTTCAGGTTATCATGGTCACAGGTGACCATCCCATCACAGCTAAGGCTATTGCCAAAGGTGTGGGTATCATCTCAGAGGGCAACGGGACAGTTGAAGACATCGCTGCTCGCTTTAACGTACCAGTGTCAGAGGTTAACCCCAGGTCAGTTACTCACCAAAGCTTGGACCTGAGGGTTCGGCTCATACACCTTTGTGACAGGGAGTTTTACTCATTTATACCCTACTTCTACCTATTGTTTGTTGGAAAACAGCTGATGGTCCACTGCTGTTATGATTTCCTTTCTAGGGATGCCAGAGCCTGTGTCGTCCACGGCGCTGAGCTGCAAAACATGACCTCAGAGCACCTCGACATTGTGCTGAAACACCACACTGAAATCGTCTTCGCCAGAACCTCTCCTCAGCAGAAACTGATCATCGTGGAAGGTTGCCAGAGACAGGTACGATCATAAAGACGCGTCCAAAGACATCTGCTGTGGTTGATCGTTTGTTTTTGTTAGAAATCTTACGAGTATCTTGTTTTCTTTCCTCAGGGAGCCATTGTAGCTGTAACAGGTGACGGCGTGAACGACTCTCCCGCTCTGAAGAAGGCTGACATCGGTGTTGCCATGGGTATCGCCGGATCTGACGTCTCCAAGCATGCGGCTGACATGATCCTGCTGGACGACAACTTTGCCTCCATCGTCACTGGAGTGGAAGAAGGTGAGACCTGAACCTGCAGAGTTGTGGAAGCGGAGACCACAAAAAGCATCATGTAACTGGATTTCCTCTCTTTTCTAGGCCGTCTGATCTTTGACAACTTGAAGAAAACCATCACCTACACTCTGGCCACTACCATCCCACAGATCGTTACCATCGTCATGGTCGTCTTCCTCAACATCCCGCTGCCTCTGGCAGCCATCACCATCCTCTGTATCGACCTGGGAACAAACATAGTGAGCATTTAGAATTTCTCGTGCTTGAGAGAAAATTCATGAAAAGATCAAATCTGTGGCACAGCAACACATCCAGGAAGTTAATTAAGATGTCAAAGTTAAGTTGTGTGTGTTGCCTCTCAGGTCCCTGCCATCTCTCTGGCTTATGAAAAGCCTGAGAGCGACCTCATGAAGAGACAGCCAAGAAACCCCAGAAGAGACAAACTTGTGAATCAGAATCTAATCAGTATGGCCTATGGACAGATCGGTAAGTTCACCGCATGATGTTAGATTCTATTTGGTGGATAAATCAAAATAACCAATCCTTGGGAAACTGACACTTGGACTGGGAGGAACCCATCTGATTGAAACCATTTCTCTTTTTTAAGGTATGATTCAGGCCACGGTTGGGTTCATTGCATACTTGGTGGTCATGGCGGATAACGGCTTCTTCCCAGATTACTTGCTGGGTATCGGAATGCACTGGAATGACAAAGAAGTAAATGACGTGGAGGATACCTATGGACAAGAGTGGGTCAGTATCACCTGTTTGAATTCTGCTTTTTTTTTTTTTAATAATTATCCCTCCGGGGCTTCTTTTTGTTTGTTTCCTTACGTTTCTGTGCTCAATTCACAAACAAAGGAACTTCAAGTTAGAAACATCAGTGAGATTCAATGTTTTTTCGCAGCTTAATCTCAGTAAGTTTCAGAAGGACCAGGATATGACAGAGAATATAGGTTTGGTGGACAAGTGGAGCTTGGTGTCATCCTTTATAGCAATGACAATACGTGTGGAATTTACAGAAGATAAGGCAGAGATATAGCAGTTGATGATAAACAGAAGAGGACCCAGGAAAGACCCCTGGGGAACACCAGTAGTGAAAATGGGAGTTACAGGACTTTGGTAAAACTTGGTCTAATCCATCAGAGTTACATGTATTCAGGATTTTATGGTAACCATTTTCATGTGAGCTGACAGCTTCATCAACGAAAGGTAAAAAAGAAAACATGTTCAGGATTTGAAATGTTCTCTCCATCAGACGTACCAGCACAGAAAGATCCTGGAGTACACCTGCCACACAGCTTTCTTTGTCAATATTGTGATCATGCAGTGGGCCAATCTGATCATCTGTAAGACCAGGAGGAACTCCATCCTGCAGCAAGGAATGAAGTACGTATCAATCAGCACAGATAGTAGCAGCAATCACATCAAACCAAACACTTTACAGATAAAATGTCGCTTTAACCATCAATCAAATGCCAAAGGAAGTAAAAGTGAATTATTGGGGCGTAATCATGATTGAAGTTGACATCAAACATTCATTGTAGGCATATTAAATTATTCAAAAGTTGTTTTAATGATATATGACTGGAGGGTGAACTTTGGTTCATGCAGTTGTAATTATTCTGAACTGTCTCTTCTTCTTTTAGGAACCATGTCCTCAACTTCGCTCTGGTTGCAGAGACAATTTTTGCTGTTTCTCTTAGTTACGTCCCGGGCATGGACGCTGCCCTCAGAATGTACCCTCTTAAGTAAGTCAATACTTACTTTTTATTAACTTATTAACCATACTTTTTATTAAGTATCCATCTCTTTCTCAGGCTGTGGTGGTGGTTCATTGCCCTCCCCTTCGCCCTCCTCCTCTTCCTGTACGATGAAGTCAGAAAATATTTCATCAGACGTTACCCAGGCGGTAAGACCCTTATTGAGATTTCCATATGAGTTTAGAGCTTTTATAAAAACCTTTGTAGTTTCCTGAAAATTTGCTAACAAAGTTATGAACATTCTATAAAGTTTCCCCCCAAAAAATTCAATTTTTTTTTAAATTTTGAAGTGTCCAGGAAGTTTTCTACAAGTGTGATGTAATATTTCCAAGAGATTCAGTTTGAAGTTTTAAAGGTTTTGCCCAAAATATTTCCAATTAAAATATTTGAATATTCCTTAAGGAAAAATCATCTTAATATCAGTGTAAATTCCCTTAAATTTTCATCAAAATTTTTATAAAAGTTTTCTAAATTTGTCCACGAAGATTCTCAACAGGATCAGAAAGGTTTTCAAAATCTAAAAAAAAATAACTAATTTTTTTTTTTTTTTTTTTTTTTTGGAAAATTTTGAAAAAAATTTTTGATTAGCAGTCCAAATTTCTTTGTTGATTTATTTTATTTTTCCTTCTTGAAAAAATTCTAGAAATTATTGATTTTAATTTCTTGAAGTTTACTAAAATTTCCAAACTTTCCTCAAAATACTTTTCAAACATCCCAGAAAGTTGCAGAAATTTTTCCCTACTTTCTGTTGAATGTTTTCCAAAGAAATCTCTGAGATTTCATTCCATAAAAAGAAAATAAATCTTGATTTTAATTTGTTAAATTTTCCTTAAAAATGATTTTTTACAAAATCCCACTAAGTTTTGTCATCAAAAATTTCCAGAAAGTCTACCAAAATTTAATCCAATATTCCTGAAACTTGAAAGTAAAAAACTCCCAAAGTTTTTGATGAAATTTTCCCAAAAAATTTTCCACAAATTTTTTGTGACTGGGATGGTTACAGTCCCTCTGGGGTGGGTCAATGTATTCTCAACATGGAGGATCAATATGTGTGTTCACATTGGGCTGTTTGTGGATGTGTGTGATATCTCCGTCAAAACTGCGCCCCACACAGACCAGTGAACTGTGGCAGATGGCAGAGCCCAGAGGGATTTCAACCCTCAACCCCTTCATTGTTAGCTAAAGCCTCGTTCCATTCACGGATCTGAGTACAACCTGTATGCAGGGCTGGCTTTAGTGCAGCTGTTTGTGTGTTCGTGTGTGTTTGTGGGTCTGCTCCATCTGAGCCCCTCCGCACAGATCAGTGAACATCCCATTTCCCATCCATGGTGAATAATTTGTTACCAACAGAGAGAAAAAACAAGTCAGAGCCACAGATTTCCAAACAAACAGGAATGGATTAAAGCGGAGAACGACAAGAGCTAAAACTTTGGTGTCTGAAGTTGAAACCATGATTCCAGTCCAGTGATTTTGAGCTCTCTATGAAACACGACTTCTCCATGTTTGGGGCCTAAAAATAAAATGCAGCTCTGGGCTCAGCGGAGCGCAGCCAAAAGATGCGAAATCACACAAGTCAAGCATGCAAATCTTGTCGACTTCTCATGAAGTTTTATGAGATTTACATCTTTTGGGTCATGAGTGAGGCCTCCAGGATGATATCATCCATCTCCCTGCCTCTTCACAAAGAAAGTCATGGCTCTGAATCAGGAACACGTCTGAATCATTGACACTAATCAGGTCCCGTGATTTCACCCTGCAGCCTGAATGCAAAGTTAAAAGTCTCTGTATGACAGCAAGAAAATTCAGACCCTGAACATGTTCCTAATTCTGTCTCTTTTGGTTTCCAGGTTGTGTGGAGCTGGCGACATACTACTGAGTCCACACATACGCAGAGGGAGCAGTCAGTGCTTCATTGTTATATCCTGCATTTACTGGAATATTAGTCTGACTAAAAAATATATATATTAAAAAAACTAACATAAATGAATACATCAAGAAGATCTTGATGTATGAGTACCTCTCAATAAAACTTTTTTTTTACCTTTTTACATCCAGACTGTTTGAAAGTTTGTTTCTAAAGAAGAAAAAGTGAAATTTAGACTTTGATGCAGTTTGAAGGTTGAATTGGGCTGTAGCAGTGAGTCACGTCCTGTGACCTTTGCAGCTGATTTTACACCTGAACAGTTCCCAAACTCTGGAGTCTGAAACAGAGGACGCAGAGGAGACCATGCACTTAAGACAGAACAGTGAATAAAGGCGAGAGAATGATTTTAATTTTTCAGTTTGACTACAAGGGACCAAAAAAAAAAAAAAAACTGAGACAAAAATAAAAAACCTGAAGGCTGAAGGTTAGCTGCATCAACAGGTCATGACCAAAATGTAAAAAAAATAAAAAATCAGAAAATTGCCATATGATTTCCCAAAGGCAAAGTGCAATACTTCATGATATGCTTTAACAGTAAAAAAAAAAAAAAAGGAAAAAAATGGCTAAAAATCTTAAAAGAGTAGAAAGCAAAAATATTTTCATACATAACAATTTACAAAACAAAAAAATACTCCATGAATTAAAAAAAATGCAGTCTCTTACCGATGAAAAGAAATTACAAAAATGTTATGAACACAAAAATGCAAAATAATTTGAGACAAAAATAATAAACAAAATGCAAAATTTTTGATGATACAACAAAAATCAGACCAAGGTATTTCATAAAAAATATTTCAGATTTTCATTATAAATTTTTGTGTCACATGAAAAATATTTTGAATTTTTTTTTCGAATCTTGAAATATATTTGTTTCAGGACATATTTTTGAAAAAATTTGTGACTTTTTTTTTCATTTTGTGTATTTTTTCATGTTTCAAATCAGCTTACTCTATTATATGAGGCTTTATCGCTTTTGGTTAAATGATCTGGGGGTCAATCAAAAAAGAAAATGCTTCACTTTTTTTACAGTTGCGGTTCAGGGCCTCCATAAATGCATGTACAAGCACCGTGTTTGTGTATATGTGTGTGTGTGTGTGCGTCCATTATCTCAAGAGCCAGTCATTCTCAGTGGTGTTTGCAGTGGATCGCTCCGTTGACCGCTAATGCAGAAGAGACCCTCAGTGAGAATGAACTGAAGGCTCTTTAGAGCTTTCTACTCTGTGTTTACCTCGGTCATTATGAACGCCCCCTTCTCCATCAAACCCCCTCTAGTTCATGCATGTCTGTGTGTGTCTGTGTCTGTGTGTGTGTTAACAGCATCATCAAACCAACCTGGGTACAGATGGCCTGCTTCACACACACTTGGGGAACACTTGCAGGCAGAATAATACTGTAATTTACACACTTTTATTTGCGGAAACTGCTCATGTTAACAGGCAGATAGCTCCAACCAGCCAATCAGGTTGTTTCCATCAGACTCTGAAGGTGATTTCTGAGTGTTAACAGGCGGCGAGTGTGTGCAGACAAAAGGATGGAGGGAAAAAAACAGGGAAAAGAAAGGAGAGTGAGGTTGATTGATGGTGAGGAAGGAGAATCGATGGGACTATGTGAAAGAGGAGAAAACAGAGAGTATTGGCTGTCTGTCCTCTTATTATGATCTGGGGCATAAATGAAGGTTTGCGCTGTTTGTCTGCGCCACTTTGTTAATATGTTTTCTGATGAGGTGTGGTGCCGATAAAAACGATCCGGTTGTGATGAATTGAGCTCAGGGAAAGAGAGAAAGGCAGCAGACAGACACCAGCATTATCATGCCTTCATCCTTTGCTCACATGCAGGGCCCCCTGAACGTGCCTGTTGCTATGGCAACTCATTTTAGAGCCCTTCTCTCTCTCTCTCTCTCTATTTCCTCTGTCTCTCTCTCTCTCTCTATCCAACATCTAAATAAAATCTGGGCTATTTATAGAAGCAGCACAGTGCAACACGCAAGAACGCACATGCATGAATGTGAACGCACCACAACAACGATCTGACATGCGTGTGCGCGGACGTGCTGCCAGAAATGCCCGCGCTCCCTGCTGAGTGTCCATCTGTGAAAGTGCAACTGCATTTTGTTTCCTTTGCATCAAAGAGGGTAAAACGATGACTGCCGCTCCTCCTCGCCGAAGCCTGGAGCGGTGAAATCTTCCTTCTGCTGTTTGATCCATTTCAGATTTATCTTGTCAGGCGTCGAGATGCGCTCTCCAGGCCAAACTGATAAGAATACACGGGGCGCCAGAGAGTGATTGACGCAGGCTTACCTATCAGGGTATGATAGCGTTTCAACTGTCAGGTTTATCCTGAACGATCAGGATGACTTCACTGTTAAAGAGCTGGTTAATGTACAAGCACCATTACTCTGTTTTTTTTTTTTTTTGGCGCGCTAGCTCAAAAGGTTAGCATGTGCCTTGGCGGCGTCATTTTTCAACACAGCCCCCTTCTTGCAGTTTTCCCAAAAAAGCAGATTTTTCATACACACATCCAGCTTCTAGAGACCATAGACTGTATATACTATGGACAACTTGGTTCCGCCTTCCGCCAGTACACGGATTTGAAGCCAAAAAAGCTCTCGGTAATTCTGTGTTTTTTCTCCACTTCCTGAAACCAACGTTTCGCAGCAGCATTGTGTGCATTTGGCGGGAGAGTCACCAAGAGTCGCTGCAATGATGCTTAGCTCAAACAGCGTATCCCCCAGTGTTGACTTTTTTTTTTTTTGTAGGAAGATAGGGGAAGGTCCCGCCCTCCTTCACCTCTGATTGGCTAGAACTGCTGGGCTCCGATTGGTTATTCCTTATTGCTGTGAAACGTCATCGTTTGTGGGGTTAGGGTTAGGAGATTCAGAATTGCAATAATCTATAATGTTCTGTTCGATGTACAGAGCCGACGGCCTGTGTTTGACTTGAGACTGTGATGATGTTTCTAGCTTTTCTAGCCAATCAGAGGCAAAGGAGGCAGGACTTTCTCCTACACCGTCCTTCTCCTTGTACCGTCCTACAAAAAAATATATATCGCTTCCGGGACAGATCAGGGACAGACTGACTTCAATGCCTATTGACGCATCCAACAGGAAGTAGTATTTTAAGCCCTTGCACTACGTTTAGAGACATCAGATTTGGTACACAGAAGCCCAGTTGGCAGCGACACAATTCATATATGTATTGTTACTGGGCACAGCCTAGATGATGCAATCAGCCACACCCAAAGTCTCTGAAATTCCTCTTTGGCTTTCAGTCATAATTGTCAAATATTAGTTGTAATATTTCACAAACCCCAACGTGCTTCATTCACCCAAGTTCTTGAAGATGTGAAGGCACACTAGCTGCTACTTTGATCTTTCATTTAGGAATGTAATCTATCCCTGCTTCTTGATTGGGGTGTTGATACTGTTTCGAAGCTCAGGTGAGCCTGAAAGTCCCTCATTTTTGACCCTAAGTACAACAAATGGCTAAATATTTCCAGTCGCAGGCTCAGATCCAGGGATGAAAGACTAAATCTCTTTTTGTATTGTGGGATAAAAGGGTTTAAGAGCTCCAGGAGCAGATGAAAACAGACATATGGCTGCTGTCGCTGCTGCTGCTGCTGCTGGTTTGCAGTGCGGTTAAACTTGATGGCGATCTGCAGACTTCTAACAGATGCTCCTCTTACATTTGTCCACAATGTCATATTCATTACTGCAAAAGCTGTAGATCTCCACTGCAACCCCAACTTGATCAAATCTGCTTTTCTGCATCTCTGGATTTAGAGGCACAGGGTTCAAAAAGTTGGCTGCCCGCTATCAGCACGCAACAACCTTGTCAAAGCAGCAGGAGGAAGAAGGTGTCTGAACCCAGCTGTTCGAGCCCGACCGAGGTGGAGAAGAATCAGGAGTGTGTTTTGGAGTGTGTGTGTGGAAAGGGAAGGGTGGGGGCGGCTGTTTTTCTAAATCTGCAGGAGTACAGCTGAAGTTAAAGGTGACACTGCAACATTTAAGAGGGAAATGTGCTTATCTTTGTTTTTCTTTTTTTGTTTTGGTTTGGTGAATGAAAACTCAAGGGTTAAATTGACTGAAAAATGAAACAAGAAAGTGAATACTTGCTTTTTTTATAGTATGAAGTTTAAGGATTGCAAAAAGTTTACTATTTAGAATCTTAATTTTAATTTAGAACATGCAAAATCAGGCTTTTAGTACTGTGCAGGCTTCTACGGTGGCCCTGACTGTAAAACACACAGTTTTATCGTGTAGAAAAACATCATCACACATTCAACAATTTGCATTAAAAAGTATTTCTAAGCACAAGTTTTTTTTTTTTCAAATGCAATGTAGAATTAAACACAAAATATTTATGAAACAAAAACTTTTGTGAAATGCATAAAATTCTCCATGAAACACCAAAATAATTTCAGTTAATATTTTAAAATAAAAATTTAATTTCATGGGCGGGCAAAAGTTGGCCGGAAGAGCTTTTAATTAAAAAAATAAAATAATTTTAAGGAACAGAAAAACAATTTCAAGAAAGTTATAAATTCCAAAAACACAAAAATTTAATAAAAGTAAAAAAGATTTCATGAAACGACAACCATTTCAAGAAACCAATTCTTATTAAATAACAGAAAATTTTAACTTATAGCTAAGATGTTCATTTCACATCAAAAAATGTCATGAAACAAAAACTATTTCGTGAAAAAATCAAAAAAGATTTTGCAAAAGTAAACTTTTTTTCCTTAAAAAAATTGCATTCAGGAATATTTTGGTTGCTTAAGAAACATTTTGCACTTCATAGATTTGCATTTGATAATTTGTGTAAAGAGAGTATGTGCTGTTTACTGAACACAAAAATTGTTTATGAAATGCAAAAAAAAAAAAAAAAAAAAGGTGCCAAAAATCAGGAAAGAGTAAAAAAGTTGATGAACAAATAATGTGAAAATTGGATGTTGCAAGTTGTGAATGTTTGATTTTTTTTAGTTCATTTTACTTTTAGGGCCACCGTAGCTGACACTTCTGCTTAGCCAAATTAGTATTACTTGTTAGGTTCGTTCTTGAAAGCACAGAAAAAAACGGATTTTTAAACATTTAATACAGTTTTGACTCAGAACTACAAGAGTGAAGATTAATTTTACTGTATCAATTTTTTTTTTCTTTTTTTAATCGTCTGTTGATGTTTTATTTTCCTCCTTTAAATGTGTTAGAATTATTTTTGACTGAGCTCTAGTATTTCCATGTCATTCCTGTTTTATTGTTCACTCATGCTGGATGATGTGTGTGCTTCTGTGTGTGTGTGTGTGTGTGTGTGTGTGTGTACGCCCATAATGGAGGAAGCCCCGCCTCCATCCGTGGCGTTACCATGGCAAGTGGCGTCGACGTCACAATGGAAGGAACGCCATCTATAAGTATTGGAGGGTCTGCCGCGGCGGCTCGCGAGCTCCGATGTGCATTCTGGAGGAGTGACACGTGCTGTAGAGAAAAATAAAAAATAAAAAAGATAAAAAAAAAATTCAAAAAATAAAAAATAAGGGTCACATCCTGGAGTTTTTGATTTCTTTTTGATTTTTTTTACTGTAAATAATTTTTTAAAGGTGGGATTTTGCTCGTCTGTTTTTACTTGAAGTGGGAAGTCCACATCTTCGGAACCATGGGAAGAGGAGTGAGTAAAAATCTCTTTGTTTGGAGAAAATGTGACTAAATCTTTGCGTTTTCTACTGAAGCAGATTGATTTAAAAGTTGACCATTCATTCAAACAAGTGGTTTACTGTCTCGCTGTGTTGATGTTGTCACGGGGGGAGGTGGAGAATCACATGTGTTAAGATAAGCAACAAGCCTGTTTTTCCCTCTCTGAGAAAAGGGGAGACTTCCGTGTCTTTAAACCCCCCCGAAACACAGGACCCCTTCAGCTGAAAAGAAGTTCCCAAAAGCGGACAAGATGCTGCTCACGGCTCGGTGTCCGGTTACATAACGGGATGTTCTCAAACGGCTGGACTGTCAAAGTTTTTCAGGCTAACGGGTTTAGCTCAAACGGGGCAGCTCAGGGGGGTTAGAGGAGGGGGTTTGTTCGTGGAAAGTTGACTCTACAACATGTGGAAAAACCCCCACTTTAATCCCAGCTGGTTTCCTCAAATCAGACTCCTCCAACTTGGAGTTATGTTGGTGATATTCTGCTGTTTGTCTGCAGAAGAATAAGAAGAGCTCCTGACAGTAGGAGGGAGAGAAAAGTCCAGCCTACTTCATCCCTCTGCTGGGAGATCTGAAGCTCTGTGCCCCTGCAACTTTCACTAAACTCGCATTTTTGCAGAGCTGCATGATGCAAAGAGTCAAAATACACAGTAAAGATTGAGTTTGAGCAAAAATGAGTGAGAAAGCATGCAAAAAATGAAAATTTTTCACTCGCCGCGTATAGATTTTGCTCTAAAAATGTGAAAGTTGCTTCAAAAATCAAGTGTTTATGTTGCCAAATCATTTGTGAAGCAATTAGAGTGGATTATATTGCATTTAAAGGTGTGCAGTGTTGCATTAGGAGGTGTAGCGTTCAATATTTTGTGTTGCTCTAGTCCAAGCTGTGATTTTATGTCTGCTTGTAACACCAAAATAATGATATTCAACTTTTTTCTGCGCAGAAATGAAAATTTTTCCTGAAAAAATGAAAAATCAGCTATTTTTAAAATCAAAATATCTTCCAATAAGAGCTAATTTGAATATTTGAAGCCCCAAGTGCGCTCATTTTCACATATTTTGATATCAAGCGACTAGAAAGTCGTCTGATCTCGACCCAGCTTTCCCCCCTTGTCATGGTTTCGCTCTGATTCTCGCCGCAGCACAGCTGTTATTTTCCAAAACTTGAATTCAAATGGGATGAAATCGAACCCCGCTTGTGTGAAATATCAGCCGTCGCCACACCCTGCCATGCTGCGCAGTAGAGGCGCTCATTACGGATGCAGCCTGCGAGGGATGGAGATGTGGAAAGAGGGAGAAAGATGGACAAAAAAAAAGGGAGAGCGAAAGAGAGGCTGAGGGAGGAGGGGGAGATCTGTGGCGGGAGATGTGAAGCCGAGCAGCTCATACAGTCATTTATGAAGATCTGCTCTCCTGCTCTCTCTTGGCTGCTCCTGCTCCTGCTGCTGTTTTTTTTTTCCTTCCTCCTCTTCCTCCCATATGTGATGAAAACCCTGCCCTGCCCCCATCCAACCTCCCTCTACTCCCCCACTGCGTCTCCCCCCTCGCTCCCCTCTCCTCCTTTTTCAATACATTCAGCTCTGGCACAGACAAATAGCTCGACTTGGAGGGGAGAACCGCGACTACAGCGCTTCCTACTGGGAGAGAGACTGAGGAGGAGGAGGAGGAGGAGGAGGAGGAGGAGTTGTTTTGTTGTAATGGAGAAGAATGAGGGCAGTGAGATTGAGCACAGGTATGACAGGGATTATAATCCCTCCACATCAACTCTGAATGAGATTACCCCTCTGCTGCCTTTTTTTTTTTTCTCCACGCTCTCCCATGTTTGCCCGTCACATCGACATCAGAGCGCAATCAGCGAGGGGAGAGGAAAGTGAGCCGAGAGGTGCAAGTGATTGCTCCTCTGGTGGCGGAGAGGGGGAGATACAGGGGGGAGAAGAGAGGCACCAGTTGCCGCATTGCCTCCTTCCGTTGATCAACTTCAAACGAGGAGGGAGCAACAGACAGATATCTTGTTTTCACGTCTAGATTTTGTGTGTAAAAACAACAGAATGAGGCGCAGGAAAAAGGGTGACAGCTGTTGAATTCACAGGAGATTGATGGTGGGAATCCAGTCTTCTCCATTTTTCCTCCCGACAGATTGAGTTGGCGGTGATTTAGAGAAGCAGATTCATGCACTAAAGAATGGAGATCGAAGCAGAACTGATTGATTCACCTGCTTTATATTTAACAGTGACAACACAAGTGTGGTAAATAAGCAGATACTGAAGAGTGAATGTGAGCCATGATGTAGGAATTCAGAGGTTTTGGCCCAACTGACTGTGAAAAGAAAGCAGAATGTAGATTTATATACCGTATTTTCCGAACTATAAAGGTCCTGACACACTGGGAATGACGCAAATATACGACTGATTAGACTCTAGTGTTGAGATGTCTGTCATGATAGCATGTACTGAGTCGGGGCCTGTACCAGATAAGAACATTAAACTTTAATCCATAAACGTAAGGTAACAACCAAGACCTAATGTTGCTGTGACAGTGAAAATACATATGGTATGTTGTATCTGAACAGGTTAGCTTACGAGCTAAAGTTAGTTAGCACAGATGAAAGTTAAAACAAAGACGTTTATCAAACTGTTAAAGCACACAAACCATCGTCATATGAGAAATCCGACGCTATGACTCTCCTAAAGTTGTCCTTCAGGTCGTTATCTTTGTAATATTTGTGTTTTTTATCAAAAATCACTCTGTTCTCCGACACGTAAACAATCAGCCGGTCGGCCATGTTGGATATACCGGTGAAGCTGAGGAATCTGATTGGTCAGAAGTGGACACACAGTGTGCAAAACTTAAAAAAAAAAAATTGACCGTGATCCAAAAAAATAAATGCCGCAATATCGCAGGACAGGAAAACGTCGCAGATGTGAACTGTTGTATTGACAGGATTCAGGTTTTGAAAAAAAATATTGACGTCCGAAATAATCGCACGAAAAAAACGATCCCGTTGTGTAAGAAGTTTAAGTCGCAAGGTTTCTGCCTGTTAAAAGGAAGTTTCTCTCGCCTCTGTCACTCATGTTAGATGAGATGGGCCGAATTCCATCACACAATGAGAGTGGTCTAGACCTGCTCTTTTTTTTTAAAGCGTCTTGGGATGACGATTGTTGTGAATTGGCGCTATAAATCAAAAAACAAAGACGTGCAGTTTTGTCCACAGGTGGCGCTACAAGCTTCACACAGAAGCTGTGATGGTCTGCAGGAAAGGCTCTGCGTCTATGAGCTTGAAATTGAGATTGAGATAGTCGTAGACTCTGCGACAGAAATAAAGCAGAAGATCCATCTCCTTAGTGGCCCTGGATCACATCCAAAAACCAACATCCGTATCCCCTGGCGACGGCTCCGCTAGTTATAATTTACTCTCTTCTTCCCACTGTGACCTGACCCCGGACTCCAGCCCTGGGGCCACATTTAATCTCAGCAAAAGGGGGCACCCTGACTCCACCTTCACATCCATTCTTTACAGTCTGTTTCTCTTTTGTTCTCTCTCTCTTTCTGTTCCTACCTGTCCTCCCCCCTTTCTCTCTCTCCCTCTCTCTCTCTCTCTCTCTGAGGATTTAACATTCTTTCCGCTCGGCAGTCATTGTGTATTAACCAGGGCTTTTGTCACACGCCACCTCTTGTCTGTGACAGAGCACAGCCCTCCCTCTCTCTCTCCTCTTTCCTCACACTCACTCCATCCCAGACTCCTCCTGTTATCCCCTTTCGCCTCACTGTTTGCGTCCTGTTCCTTTTTATCTTCTCGCCGTCTCTCTTTCTCCCTCTCTGTCTTGGCCTCTGTTTGCTTTAGCGGCTTCTCGCTGTTTAATTTGTTTTCTTTCCGAGCTTTCTCCGTTGCTCTGCAAAACTAGAACATTAAAAATAACAAAATCCAACACCCTTGACTCCCACATGAGGAAATATGACTTCTTCCATGCCTGAGGGACGCCGAGTCACGCCTCGGGCCTCGAGCACCTTTTCGTGGATCCCCGCAAAGTTTGTCTAAGTGGTCTTGTGTGAGATGTTCCAGACGAATACGCTTACACTAGCTCTCTTGAGGAAATGATGCAACTCGTAGCTATGGAGTCCTGGCCTGCAAATGCCATGGAGGCGGGGTTTAAGGCCTGAAAGTGGGAAAAGAAGGAGCCATTGATGTGCTGATTCATTCATTGCAGTCCAGAGCAGCTTTTCCCACATTCAGGGCATTAATCTTGGTGAGATATTCGCCGGCCTGTGGGACAACAGAGGCTTTTCCTTATTAGGTAGTTAACTCGCTCTTGAATTTATAACTTTAACCGGAAAAGATGTAACTTGTGGACTTGTGTTTTCATACTCTAGGAAGGTCCTTCATTTACACGCTGACAAGCTAATGCATTCCCACGCAGTAGGTAGCGGTATGCAACCCGAGCCCAGCTACACGAGCTTTTTCCTTTAAAGGAAATTTCAGGAGCCTTGACCTGAAATTTCACATCCATACTGAACACCCGTCCCTGTGTCTGAGCAAAAACTATCATGAAAACTAGGGGTGTCCCAATACAACTTTTTTTACTTCTGATGCGATACCGATATTTATCCAATGTTGGCATGAACTTGTGCATGACAAGTTTTGCACTCAGCTGACACACCTTTTTCTGACTTTAACAAAAAATACCGCCACACAGCCAACATATCTCCTTCTTCTTGGTACTTTGTTGTGCTGCGGTTGAGTTACCTCGGAAGTCGGAAGTCCAAGCTGAAAATGACGTCACACCCAAGTTGCCAGCCAGTTCCCAAATTGGAAAAACACAACATCGGAGGCCTGAAACAAGATGGCTACATCTATGAAAGTAATTTTAGCGCTTGCCATTTATATTTGGACAAGGCAAGCGCTAAAATAACTTTCGTAGATGTAGCCATCTTGTGTTCGCCTCAGATTTAGCTTTTTTCCAGGTGTGACGTCATTTTCAGCTCGGACTTCTGACAGCACAATACCATAGTACACACTGTTGTTGTGATCACATGGGCTATGGATGCTAGATCGGGGTGCTGCTAGCTAGAGGTGCCGGAGTGGAGTCTGGAATGGACTGCTTTTAGATGCAGGCCGATATAATCTGATATTTGTTTTTGACTGATATCAGACTGATATCTGATATCAATATCGTATCGGGACTGTCCAAGTGTAAACAGACACCCCTGCTGTTGATTCATGTCATTCATTCATTTATTCTTAGCTCACCTGGGTAAATTCAGGAATTTTTCAGGAAGGTTGAGGAGCCAGGTGCAGCTACAATGATTCACACCATTACTGATGGTAAAACGTCAGCTGCAAGTTTTTAAAGGTACGAAAAGTGTTCGGCTTTTCACACAACGAATCTTCTGAGTTAACTCGAAACGTCGTTGTCGCATCAAAAAGTACAAGGCGGGAGAAACTGCAGTGACCGCTTGCACCAAGTTATGAAAACGCCGAAAATTGCAGCGTTGGAGAGTTTACCATGTTCAAGTCATTTGTGCGACTGAGACTGGACTTTTAAAATTGAAGAAAACACTTTGAACTTCTCATAGCATTGAACCTCTCATACTTGCACTAACATACCTAGATAATGCCGGTGGAGGATGGTTCGTAAACAAAATCTCTGTAGACAAAGACAGGACATACAAGTGACGAAACTGTTGTGTGTTATGAACAAAAAGTTCAGAGCTGTAAAAGTGGCAGCGCGTCATCCTGTTCGCAATATGCTAACGTGTTTTGTCGATTGTTTTGGTACCTAAGAAGCCAACCTGGAGTCGAGTAAGGAGGCATGTCGCCACCTACTGTAGCGGAGGTGCACATGATTCCGTGAATAATTCAATTTGTTAACAGTAGACCAATCTTCAGAGCAAGCTCACTAAATTTGAGCTTATCTTACCCTCCGATGTGCGTAAATTTTTCATTTCAAGTAAAGTAGATTTTCTGAAGGATGGTGTCAGAGTGATTGGAGTAAAAAAGTGCCCATGAAGTTCCCAACAAGGAAAGCCATTGATTCATTCATCCACCTCTTTGTTCTACTGGGATAAAGCTTAAAGTTGCCCGGGACGTGTAGGGAGTGTTAAACACGACCCCAGTGTAAATTAACACACTCTCTTTGCACCGTTTGAACAGCCAACGGTGAAGCTGCAGGAAATGAAAGGAGAAAGGGAGCGAGGAAGGGGGAGGGGCTGTAATACTTGACTCTGTCCATTCACATATTCCCAGAGGTGTGTCGTTGGTCGCTGGTAGCAACGGGGTAAAGTCCCAGCGCTGAGTGTGTATATGTGTGTGTCTGCACAGTTGAATGAGCAGCTTGTGTATCTGGCACCAGAACGAGCTGTTCATAGGAATTCAAGTCCGCCTGTAAACCAGTTAAAATATGCGAGCGCTTGACCGACCGCTCTCCTCTGATGTTTGTCCGAGCCTGTGGGACGTTGTTCTCTCAGGCGAGAAAAAACAAGGCTGAATGGGCGGCAGAAATTCTCGGTTAAAGCCTTTTTAAGGTGGTTCATTAGGACTCGGAGATTACTTTCACATAGTTAATTCAGAATGTCGTCTTTGTGCCGGTTTTACACTTTGTCTCGACCAAAAGTCCAGTTCATTTTCCTGCAGTTGGCCATCTTAAGGCCTTTATTTTGAGTTTACGTGTTTGCTGAATCAGGATTGACAAATGTCCCAATTTATTTACTGAACACTTCACCTGAGTCTACCATCTACTTTGCTTTAAGATTTAGCTCTAGCATGAAGGACAGCCTCAGTGTTGGTCAGCCTCACTGCTTCATAACTTGACCCCTACAGCCGGAGGTCTTAATGGTCACATGAGCAGATTTCCGAGTCCTTTATTGGGGTTTATGATGCTAGTTTTCTTATGGAAGTTCAACAAAGAGCCTTTGTTTAGGCTCGTATGTTTGTTGCACGCCAGTTCCTCCTTGTTTGTTTTTTTCGGGGCCATTGTTTGTCCGCTTCTATTGTCTCTTTTGCTTCGCAGCATCGTATCATTTCTGCTCTCAATGCCCCTTTTTCCCTTTTGTGTCAGTTTTGATACTTTGATCGTTTTGGTTTACAACCCGTATACTTCCTTCTGCGGCTCTAATGCTACCTTTGAATGCTACTCCCCAAGGTTGGGTTTGCTTTGTTGTTTCATCCTTCGGGAGAATCAGGGCTACATAAGAAAAATGTTGAAAACAGCATGTAGAGAGGTGACATGTTTGTGTACGCCCAGAAACACAACATTTTTACTGTTGCGTCTCTTAGATTACTAGTTTGAGAAGATGTATTCACACATGCGCCAAAACTAGTAAAATTCCTGAAATTTTCAGGGTGATCGGCACGTGTGAACCAAATTAGTGTGCACCCATCATGCTACAACCAGTGTCCCCATTCCCAGTCTACCGGTCCCAGGTGCGACTCAGCCTGAGCGTGGTCAAGTATAAATGTCAAAGGACAGTTTGACATTTGTTTTTTTGTTTTTTTTTAATCCGATTGACTGAAAATTTTTACCTGCAAAAATTTTGTAAAACACTTGATCTCCAGTGCAAGAACATGTGATTGTAGGGCACATATCCAAGCAACTTTTTCTTTTTTTCATTTGAACCCTGAACACGTCCAACGACCCATATGCTGTTTTGTCCACCATCTTGGATTCGTTGGAAACTTTACAGGCTAATTCCTGGTCCTTGTAATGTTTATATCCCACTATACAGAAGGTGGAAATTTTTGGGAAATTTTTGGATAGGATGAAAAAGGATCTGAAAGAGGTCAAAAGAGCTCCAGCAACACTTGTAGTTTCAGGAAAACAGCCTCATTTGACTTTTTGATCGGTCCTGAAATTTTCTGGGACTTTTCAGGAGTGCATGTGTGGACAAAAGTCCTAGTTTTTTGGCTTATTTTTGGCCTCAAATCCTGCTCCAAAAACTTTTGATGTAACCGGTTCTTGATCTTGAACAGACAGACTCAATATTTCTAAAGTAGAAATCACTCGAAAAACGTAAGAGGATTCCCACTCCCTATTAGTCGCCACTTATTGATTTTCCACCATGTGTAAACAATTTGGACACAAGTGCACTGCGTTGGAATGGAGCTGTGGTCTTCACATTTCCTGTATCTGAACTGCTTTGAGTGGTTTTTGTGGTCTTTGAGCGAAAGAAGATAACAAGTAGATGAAATGTAAAAAAACAGGACCAGAGGATCTTCACTGAATTTGTTCCAAGAGCAGGTGAAATACACCTGCTGACTTCCTGTTAAAAAGTGACACTCAGTCCGGATGGGTAAGCTCGTTCTTGTAAGACATGAGTAGGTGTGTAAGCTGACTTAATCCCCGACAGGTTTAGGGAAGAGTGATACCACCTCATCAGCCGGGACTCTACCTGTAAATCTCTCAACACCTGTTGAGTTTCTGCTCACAACGACAAATCTCAAGTCGATTTGGGTGTTTTTTGAGAGGTTTTTGGTAAACAGAGCCAGCTCGGCTTCATTTTTCCAGACTCTCATTTCTCAGATGTAAATAAGGGCTGAGCCTTTTTATTAGCTGTAAATATCAGGCCGATGTTTTCAGCCCTTATCAGATCTGATGTGCGCTGAGATTAGTGATCTTTGGTTTCTTTAATAAACCTCGAGTGCTGCTCTTGAAATACCAGGTGCTTTAAAAAGCCTTCAACCTTGTGAAGTTTGAGCTGACAAAGGTTTTCTCGAAAGGTTTTTTAAATGGTGTTTTTCTTCCTTTGCATCTTTTGGTGTGCCAAAAACACCAGCGAGGGCTCTTTAAAGCGAGGACAGGTACTTACGAAGAAAACTATAAGGCTGCAACCCTGAAAGGTTTAGAGTTTATCCAAAATTCAAGCTGACGTTCATTTTCATCCTTGTGATCTTCATGTCTGTTGAAAGAAGAAGTCTGCATTCCTCTTCAGGCTTTTGAACCACTGTTTTTGCCTGAAGCCAGATGGCCCCTGGGGGCCCATCGGGGGTCCAAAGGCTAAGATCTGGCCGCAGCAACCCAGAGCCAGACTCAGTGTTTTCCCAGCTTAGCCGGCCGGGAGGCTCGAGCAACAATAACAACATGTGCTGAGATCACACACTCTGCTCTGCTGACGGCCTGGGAAACTTGAAAAGGCCGAGGCAGAAGAAAAACAATATTAGTTAGCATATTTCCATGACTGGGTCTGTGTGCAGGTCAGGATGTCCATATTTGGTCGTCGTATCGCTTACTATTCGAAATGGCTGCGGCGCCTGAGACAAATCTCTCATTAGTAGTCACCTCAGCAGCCTCCATCCCTGGCTCCTTGCTAACATGTTAACACCTCTGATCTCTGTTCGGCGCTGAATTATGGATGAGCTTTAGCAGCTAATTGATGTTAACTTCTGCTGTTGTGATCTCCTCTTACCTACCTGAAACACAGACCGGCAGGAGAGCTGCACTTCGTCCACCTGTCGAGTGGCGTCGGATCCAGTCAGACACACATTAACAAGAGATGCCCATACAGTGTGGCAGCTCAGCTCGCAGCCCCTCCTGAGTCGACTTGAACAAACTTGAGTCAGTGATGCTGCTTTGCGAGCTGGGCGAGTGGCCCCACGATACGATATTTTGGCCATAAGATGATATTATTGTATTTTTAACATTTTACGATACAGGAAGTTTTGCAATACAATATATCGCTATTTATACAATTCTTTTCAACTTTTTAGCTAATTTAGCATTTGGCTTTCCTTTATGTTTGTCGTACTTAAAGGGCTGTTCTGTCGAAAAATTAAGTTAGGGTCAAACACACTGTAAGACCGAGTCAGACACCCTCTTGAGAGATGAGTGTTGCCGACTGCTTACTTCTCTAATACAACTTCAGTAACAACCGCACGATAGCAATACACAGCGGTCTGAGGAGACATAAACAAACCTCAACCAAAACGCCACTCTATAGCCACAAATAATGCTCAGAACAGCAGCTAACTTCATCAACAGTACATATAGGGTCCCAGCCATAGTACTAGCCACCAAACATCTTTTAAACTTTGCGTAATTTCTTTAGCAAAGAGACTAAACACAACCAACCTACTCTCTTCCAGCACCCACTTGTTTGTAGCGAAACCTCAGGCTAATCTACCACGTACTACAGCGGGGTGACACAGCTCAAAGAAGAATATTTATGATAATTTCTTTATCATTTCCTTTTAGTAATAATCACCATATTAGTCATTTTGCACTGCAGACGCAGTAGTTCTTCTGTCTTAGCGTCTCGGTCAGATTGCATTTCCATGAAGAAATGATTATAAATGTTCTTCCTTGAGCTGCGGCACCCCGCTGTACGCGGTAATGGACTGGCCTGAGGTCTCTAAAAACAAGTGACTGCTGGAAGAGAGTAGGTGAGTTGTGTTTAGTCTCTTTGCTCAAGAATTCAGGCAAAGCTAAAAAGATGTTTGGTGGCTAGTGCTGTGGCTCGGACTGTTGATGAAGTTAGGTGCTGTTCTGAGCATTATTTTTGGCGTTTTGGTTGAGGTTTGTTTATTGCTCCTCAGACCGCTGTGTATTGCTATCCTGCGGTCGTTACTAAAGTTGGTATAACTGGAGAAGCAAGCAGTCAGCAACATTGTGTTTGTGTGTTTCAGCCTAAATTAATTTTACGCCGGAATATCCCTTTAAGCAGTATTTTATTTTCATGTAGCACATCTTGCAAACCTTATGTGTCTCATTTGTGCCCTGATTTGATTTGATTTTTCCATTATCGTAGAATTGACTTTCCTATCAACAGTTAATTTGAAATGAGGCGGATCTTCTTTTATCCGTGTGGAAATGATGCCAAGAGTGGGTTTACCATCTGAATTCTGCCGCGTTATAAAGTTCGGGTGCAGTGTCTTCCATGTTTGTAGTTGGTTTTGACCCTTCTGTGTGAGATAAAATCACGCTGATGGAAGAACTTTTGTTGGATTTTCCTTATTTTCTCGTCCTCTTTGCAGTTTTTTTTAGAAATCGGATCAGCTTCGCCCCCTTCCCCTCTTCTCCTTATCTCACCTTCTCGCTGTCACTGTCTCTCACACCCTCTGGCTTACAGACACAATCTTTGCTCGGGTCCTTTGTTGCTCTGTCAGCTGCAGCGGCGGCTGATAATGAGTGGGGATGTCTGTCTGTCTGTGGAGGAGAGAAAGAGGCTGATGGAGTAATAAGGGGCGTTCGGAGACTAAAAAACGCGGTTTACAGATACTCCTGCGCTCACGTTTCAGCTTTATGCGCTCTTAAATCATCGGAGGATGTTTGATGTCTTTAAGTGAAAATCTAATCAGGTTTAATGAGATCATTCCAGCCGACAGCAAGAGAGTTTGTGTCTCAGTCAACAAAATGTCCCCAAGTGTGATTACCAGTAAATGACTCCACCGCGGTTTCTCGTTCCACTCTTGGGTTTGGCGGCGTGTTTAGCTAATTGGCGAGGTTATGCGAAGAAAAGCTGCCGGTGAATGAATAAAGTGTTGTGTGTATTTTTCTCACACAGACAGAGACTCTTTATAGAAAAAGTGGGTGTTTTTATTTTTTATTTTGTCTTGAGAGGAACACCTTAAACAAACACGGACAGAAAATGCTTTTTTTAGGCGCTTGTAGGGCTGGGCGATATGTCCTCAAATCAATATCACGATAAATTGAGCAGTTCACCTCAATAACGATAAATGGATAAATGGTTGATAACCTCAACCAAAACGCCACTCTATAGCCACAAATAATGCTCAGAACAGCACCTAACTTCATCAACAGGACATATAGGGTCCTAGCCATAGTACTAGCCACCAAACATCTTTTTAACTTTGACTAATTTCTTTAGCAAAGAGACTAAACACAACTCACCTACTCTCTTCCAGCAGCTGCTTGTTTGTAGCGAGACCTCAGGCCAGTCCATCGACTGCAGCGGGGTTACGCAGCTCAAGGAAGAACATTTATGATCATTTAAATTACTCTTGGTCTGATTGTATTTTTGTGAGGAAATGATCGTAAATGTTCTTCCTTGAGCTGCGTAACCCCACTGCAGTCGATGGATTCACCCAGAGTCCATCAACTCCGAAGAAAGAGTTTGTTTCCTCTTGTTGTAAATTTACGGTTTATTGCCCAGCCCTCACTGCTTGACAGATAAACTCTTTGTTATACTAAAAGCTTTCACAAAGTTCCCACTTCCCAAAAAAAGTCCATCCCCTTGGAGCTTGTTTCCGCAGAGCCAGATGGCACTGGAGTCCGTAAAGTCCCTCATCCTGTCTGTTTGTGTCTTCCTTTACTTCCTGTTCAACTTTTTGGCAGTTTAAGCCGCAGTTTCCCCACCGTTCAGACCATTCGTCTCTGAGTACCCTGACCCACATGAGGTCTTGAAGTGATGCTGGTTGACGGGATTGCTTGTGACGTTTAGAGTCGTGAGGCGTGTTCACGCGGGCGTGTTACTTATGCATGGTCTCTTGTCAGCGCCTAAAAATACTTTAAAATACGTGAATCTTTAATTTGGATGAGGCAGTAAAAACGTGACTATAAGACTAGCTGCACTTCCTCAAGTGTCCACTAGAGCTCAGCTCCAAAAGCAGAGAAACCCCCATTAGCGCTTGTGTTTTCATCGTTATTTCGCTTTTCTTTTGTCGTGTCTTCGCAGGAAGGACGTGAGCAGTATGAGCTGGCTGCGACCTCGGAGCAGGGCGGCAAGAAGAAGGGGAAGGGGAAGAAGAAAGAAAAGGATATGGATGAGCTGAAGAAGGAAGTGGATATGGTGAGTTTCCTGTTCCTCCTCTTGACTTTACCTCAAATTCATGATATTCAAACCCTGATGTTCTTTGATTTCTACATCCTGTCTTTACTTTCTGAACGTTAAATCACTTCTAAATTCGATAAAACAAACTCTATTATGCAACCTCTTAAAGCCGGCTTCAGAGCTGCAGATAAATTGAATTTGCGCTTTTTTTCCTCCTCTTATCTGAGCCCACTTCTCCTTTGTTTTCCATCCAACTCCCTCACTTTCTCCTTAATTCCTCCCTCCTCATTTCATTTCACGCTCTTCTTTCCTCAATGTATCCCTCAGCGTATTACCATATTCCATACGCTCTCCCTCCTCCATGTTTCTTTTCATCCTCCTCCTCCTCTTCCTCCTCCTCTTTTCCTCTCCTATATTTATTTATCCCGCTCCGGTCGTTGTTGCAGCTCTCCCAGGTCGTTTTTAAGCCTAAAGGTCAGCTCACAATGTGCCGCAAATGTCACATACATGCACGCTGAGCTCATGCCACCCTCTGTTTTTTTTTTTTTTTTTTCAGGATGATCACAAGCTGACCCTGGACGAGCTCAACCGCAAATATGGAACAGATCTCAGCAACGTAAGTGAAGAAGAAGAAGAAGGAGGAGGAGGAGGAGGAAACGTTCTGTTCTTGACTCGTAATTTTGGCGCCGTCTTCAAACCAGATCCTCCTAATCTGATTTTAAAAGGGTCTTTCTCCACTTTCAAGTGTCTGCGTTCATCACACAGATGAGATAAATGTCAGATAGCAGCAGCACTCAGCCTGCTCTCTTCTATTAAGCCCACTTTCTCTCCTCGGCTGATGAATCTTTAATGAGGCTCAGATGAATTAGACAGCTGCAGTCAAAGAGGGGAGGATTTCTGAACGCAGAGAGGCTGCAGGTTCGAGGAGTTTGGACGGAGGTGGGCTGTTTGTTTTAGGACTGAATATAACCTGGAAATCTGGGTCAGACACCGAAGGAGAGGCGGGAATTAACACTCCGGTGATCCAACGTGACACCATTAATATTGTTTACAGTTTCTTGAGATCTATACTGTGTATCTCTATGGGATAAAAAGTGTTCAAAAGTTTACCCTTTTGGTGATCTATCGAGGGTTTCCAGGCATTTCTAGACCTGCCACAAGGTTTACAATCCAGCCACAAAAATAGGTGTTTGATCAGAGATGTTTGATGGTAAATCCACAGTGATATACCGATGAAAACATGATTATTTAACATATTGTTGATGGTAGTGTCCAATAAGAGGCAACCAAAGATCAACAAGAGACAAGAAAGTTCCCTGCTTGTCTCCAAAATAAGAATAATGGTCCTCAATGTTTGGAAACAAGCAAAGAAGAGATTCTGAGCAGTATGATGTGGTCCTCTGTCTCATCTCAGACAGGAACTGCTTCAAAAAGTGGCAAAAACAACTGTAAATAGTAAAAAACACCTGGAAAAATTAGTGTAAATATGTCAATAGTTTCTGTTGTGTGTTTGTTTCAATCCCAATATTTCTTCTCCTGATAGCCAAGACTAGCTTTGTTCATTCTGAATCTACTGTCACATTTATTTTACATAATTTTGCATAAACTGAGAGCTGAGGTTGTCCTGAAATAAAAAGATTTGTATATATTTGCTGTGCTTTAAAAAGGATCGAGTTGCTACATAGATTTTTACAAAAAATAAAAAAGAAACAGGCGGACCAAAAATAGAAAAATATAGCTGGGGGTTCTAAAGGTCCACGCAGCACACGATGACAAGAAAAGTGAAAAACACAAAAAAACAGAAAATAAAACTTAACCAAGTGTCGAGTATTTTTGTGTTAGAGAGTAAAAATAACCCCAAATTACCGCTGCATTAGTGTAGGCGCGAGCTCGAGGGGGTGAGCGCATCTGTGGTGTTAAATAAACTTAAATACATATGTAAATATTTGCAGATATATATTTAAAGAGAGACAGGAACATTTAGGAAAAGAGCGACAAGTCATTAGCGGTATCGCGGCGTCCTAAGATTGCCATGACTAAACTGTTAACATGTACGATAGATAACAAGAAAGACTAGATTTAAGAGGAAGTAGAAGGATAGAGGACACCACCTGATCATTCAGTGGTGGAGTTGGTGCAACAGTGAAGGCATACCAGGTTCTTCGTTGTCGCCCGAAAGCAAAAGCGTCGTTGCTAGTATTTATGCTCGTTCTCGCCTCTTCCAGTTCACCCGCAGCTTTAAACGGTGACGGTGTTTTCCAGCGAGTCCTAGCAGAAGAAAAACATCCAACTATACCTCAGTTATCTTGGTCTAATTAGAGGCTCTCCTCTTGAATGCTAATGCGCTCCTGGTCATGCAGAAAGATCAAGGAGAATAGTTAATCAGCGCCTCCAAACCGGGGTCTCCAGGCTTTGTGTGCGTGCATGTGTGTGCCGCTGTTGTGAATAATTTATTAGCCGAGCCCCTGTGCCCTGATTTCATATGATCCTATTTCTCTCATCTTTCCCTCTGTCCTCCTTTACCTTCACTTCTCTCCCTCCTCCTACCTGCTGATGAGGGAAATTGTCTTGTTTTCTGTTGATGCTTCGCTGCTAGGCAACTTCTAATACCGACGGTTTCCCTCAGGCTTCAGAGAGACTGTGTTTACATGTGTGTTTGGCCGGGAAATAAGCTTTGAATTTTGCCGTTTGGCTAATTTGTGTCTGAAAACATGTCGACTGTGAAACCCTGAATAATCCGGTGCTGTATCATCGTTTCATCAGGGTCTGACTGGCGCGAAGGCTGCTGAAATTCTGGCCAGAGATGGACCAAACGCCCTCACTCCTCCTCCCACCACCCCAGAGTGGGTCAAATTCTGCAAACAGGTGACTCGGTCTGACTTAAAAGCAGCTCCAACCATTTTTTGTTCCAGTTTCTGTTCGTCTCATTTCAGTTTTTGGTGTCTCTTCTGCAGGTTAAATTCCAAAACTTAGAGGATTAAAAAGTGATTTTTGTTTGATTTGCCCTGCAGATGTTTGGCGGTTTCTCCATGCTTCTGTGGACCGGCGCCATCCTCTGTTTCCTGGCCTATGGTATCCAGGCTGCAATGGAGGATGAGCCCGCCAATGATAATGTAAGAAAAAGTCCTAATGTGTAGAGTAAGAGTTAGCTTCCTCTTTATGATGCATTTACACTGAAATGCACCAATTTTTCCTGCTTTTCCTCTTGAATAAAGTCAAACACAGCCTCAGGGTGCTACTTTTTTCACAGCTTGGATATGAAATGACCTAAAAGTTGTCTTTTCAGTTACATTAGCTGCTGTTATCATATTACTTCCAGCTTGCAGTTCTGAGTCTTTGTTTTTCAGTTTCTCAGTCCTTCAGTCTTTCAGTAAAAGTTGAGACACAAATCCAGCTCAAACTTGCCTTTGTTGACAAGTTAGCATTAACAGTTGTGATTTTGCAATTTTATTTAAAATGTCTAAAAACAAATTATTGAGACATACTGTATCAGTTAAGTGCAGAGGGGAGGAGGAAACCGAATCTACTGCTGCTGTGTGGGCATGTCCTCTAGCTTTGTTCTAATTGGACGGCAGAGCGTGACATCATGCTCAGGCCGAGTCTTGTGAAAGTCTCAAAACGAGCAGAAAAACATGTTAATATTTTAGGTTTAGAGTGGACATCTAACACTGTTACATTTTATGTATTTATTAAAATATGGATCAGCATTCTATAATCTCTATTAGGCTTAATTTTTTTTATGTTTATCGTTTAAATTTTTTTGACCAATAGAAAGAAAGTATCTCCTCCGATGATTTCCTGAGTCAAAGACGTTGCCTTAATATGTTTTAACATCTAAAACTCAAAGATATTCAGGTGCTTATGCTATAAAACTAAAGAAATCTGGAAAATTTGACTTAGTTTAGAGCCCAAAAATGATTTTCTGATTATTTTTTAAAATTCAAAACAATTCAAGCATTTGAATATTTTGTGATTTTGTGTTCTCTTGCAAATATTAAAGTCATGAAGTTTAAAATTTGTGCCTGAAATTTGAAGATATTTCAATATATAATCCCAAAAATCTTTGTAGAAATGTAACTTTGATATGTTCACCATCCACAGTTGTACCTGGGTGTTGTACTCTCTGCTGTCGTCATCATCACTGGTTGCTTCTCTTATTACCAAGAAGCTAAGAGCTCCAAGATCATGGACTCCTTCAAGAACCTGGTCCCACAGGTGCCGTCACTAAATTTCTTATTACATGTATCTCCTTTGAGGTAATTCAGAGTGTCGTCTGCAAAACGCAGCAGCGGTTCTTCTAACTTCAGTGAAGTTTCTGTTTCCTTGTCTCGTAGCAAGCCCTGGTGGTCCGCGATGGTGAGAAGAAGCACATCAACGCTGAGGAGGTTGTTGTCGGAGATCTAGTTGAGGTGAAAGGTGGAGACAGGATCCCGGCTGATCTGCGAATCATCTCCGCTCACGGCTGCAAGGTGCGTGCTCTCAATGGGGATTCATCTCGACTTTTCAGCTTCAGTCTGAGTGAAGGCGGCTCTTCAAAAACATCTTCTGCGTCTTTCTGACTTTAATCATCAGCGCTGAGTTTTCACGTCGAAGCTCCTTTAAGAGTTTGCAGATTCTCGCATATGAGAATCAAAGGGACAGACAACAAGTTAAGATTCATAACTCAACACCCAAGAGCAACACTTGACCCATTTCTCCCTCTTTCTTTATCGCCTACCTCGGCGTGCGTTTCTGAGTGTCGCTCGACCCAAATCTGCCACCAACTCCTCAGAAACTGAAGAAAGAGTTTGTTTTCTCTCGTCAGACAGAAACTTTCAAATTGCCAAGTTCTCATTTCGAGTCTCGCTCTGTTCAGTCGATTATTTGTCAGGATTTCAACATCAATCACAGTCCGGTGTTTCCATCCTCAGGTCGACAACTCCTCCCTGACCGGAGAGTCCGAGCCGCAGACTCGTACTCCGGACTTCTCCAATGAGAACCCACTGGAAACCAGGAACATCGCTTTCTTCTCTACCAACTGTGTGGAAGGTAAACAAAGCAGTCCAGAGACTTCGCTAATTATTATTTTTTTCTAAATGAAAAACTTTAATCTCTAATCAGATTTTTGACACATCAAAACTGCTTATAGAAGGTCCAAAAAACCACATACACTGCTAAAATTTTTCTTATTCCTTTAAGAAATAAAGGATTACAGAAGACGGTTGTGAGATTTGCTCAATTTGTGATGTCACCAATTGTTGAATCTAATTAAAATTCGCAAAATAACCGTAAAACTTACCCAACAGAAACATCCCTGTACAAGCTTTTTAGGTACGGATTTGGGGTTTCAAAATAAGTTGTCACAGTTTAAATAGAGAAACACAACTTTGTAGTTTGGCAACAGCGGAGGAGGCTCCTAGATTTCTAGTAAAGTTTTTCAGATAGAAGCTGCAATCAGGTTTTGAAAGACACCAGTTCATGTAAGATTAAGACGATTTTGAGCTGTAAATCCTGTAACACTACGACAAAGACGATTTTAGCCTGAAAATGAGCCTCATATCCGAACTTTCGGATTCATTTTGTCACTTTCTTCCTTTTGATCATAATCAGGTTCCGATTTAATGCGACGATTATTTCCACAGGAACTGCCCGCGGTATCGTGATCAGCACTGGCGATCGCACCGTCATGGGTCGTATCGCCACCCTCGCCTCCGGTCTTGAAGTCGGACGTACCCCCATCTCCATCGAGATCGAGCATTTCATCCACATCATCACCGGCGTGGCCGTCTTCCTCGGTGTCTCCTTCTTCATCCTCTCCCTCATCCTCGGATACACCTGGCTTGAAGCTGTTATCTTCCTCATCGGTATCATCGTCGCTAACGTACCTGAGGGTCTGCTGGCTACTGTCACTGTGAGTTTTTGCGTATAAATGATCGCTTTAAGATTCGTTGATCCGAGCATGAGCTGACTTTGACCGTCCGATGTCCAGGTGTGTCTGACTCTCACCGCCAAGCGTATGGCCAAGAAGAACTGCCTGGTGAAGAACCTGGAAGCCGTGGAGACCCTGGGATCCACCTCCACCATCTGCTCTGACAAAACCGGCACCCTGACTCAGAACAGGATGACTGTTGCTCACATGTGGTTTGATAACCAGATCCACGAGGCCGACACCACTGAGAACCAGAGTGGAACCTCCTTCGACAGGAGCTCAGCCACCTGGGCCGCCTTGGCGAGGATCGCCGGACTCTGTAACCGCGCCGTCTTCCTGGCTGAGCAGAGCAACCTCCCCATCCTGAAGGTAGGATTCAACCCTCTTTCTTATTTCTGGATAAATAAAAGACGTTTCTGTAGAAATAATGAGCCTGATGAAGGTGAAACTGAAGTCTGTGTCATCTTTTGTTCAACAACAAAAAAGCTTTTCATGTTTGTGTGCTCATTATGTGGGCAGTATTTAAAAGTCTCTTCTGCTGACTCATTTTCTGAGAAGTTTGAGAGTTACAATAAAATCAGAGGACTGTTTTCTATTTTTCCCGTTATTGGCTCGGTTTGATTTCTGGTAATGCCAACACCTGTTCAAGTTTGATTCCATGAGGACCAAGAAGAACAAATGTGATATCAAACTTCCAAACTTGGAAACCAACTCCAATTTTTTTTATTTTCTGCCTGTAGAGAAAAAAAAGCACGTGTAGGGCTCTTATTTTGAAAGGTTTTTTTTCAGGATTTAACCTTTAAAAGACAGAAAAACCTTTTTAATAACTCCACAAACTTCATAGTCCAGAGAGGATGATACGTAAAGCTCTGATCATCCTCAGACTTTGTTTCAACATTCATGCTTCCTAGAGAATTAAGTGTAACTGCTTTGTAAAAAGTGTTTATTTGTAATAAAATTCCTGATCCCCAGAAGATGAAATCCAAGAACGTTGGATTGGCTCCAGCTGTTTTAGTCTTTATTGATCAGCTGACATTTTCTTGATATTCCTTGTCCCCAGAGGATGATGCTGAACCATGCATAAATCATGTTATGACTTAGACTCTTACCCCACAGAGGATAAAAACTCTGTTTACTGTGTTCATCCCTTAGAGTTTTTATAGATCCTTTTTATTCTTCTTCTTCTTCATCTTCTTCTTTTTAGTTTGTTTGTTCTTCTTCTTCTACCTCTTTTTTTTTCTTCTTCTACTCTACTTTTTTATTTTTCTTCATCTTCCTCTACCTCTTTCTTCTTCTACTCCCTTTTCTTAATTTTCTTCTTCTACTTCTTCCTCTTCTTTTACTTCAACTTCTATTTCTTCTTCTCTTTCTTCTCCATCTTTTTCTTCTACTTCTTCTACTTCTTTTCCTTTTTCTTCTTCTACTTCCTCTTCTACTTCTTTATCATCTTCTCCTTTTTCTTCTCCATCTTTTTCTTCTCCATCTTTTCCTTTTTCTTTTTCTACTTCTTCTTCCACATATTCCTCTACTTCTATATCATCTTCTCCTACTTCTCCTTGTCATCCTACTTTTTTCTTCTTCATCATCTTCTTCTACTCCCTTTTCTTAATTTTCTTCTTCAACTTCTTACTCTTCTTCTTGTACTTCTTCTACTTATTCTTCATCATATTCTCCTTCTTCTCCACCCTTTTCTTCTACTTCTATTCCAATTTTTCTTCTACTTCTTCATTATTTTCTTCCTCTTCTACATCAACTTCTACATCTTTTTCTTCTACTTCTTTATCATCTTCTCCCTTTTCATCTTAATCTTTTTCTTCTACTTCTTCTACCCTTTTTTTTCATCTGCTACATCTTCTTCATCATATTCTTCCTCTTCTTCCTCTTTCTTCTTTTTCTTTTTCTTCTACATCTTAAAATTATTCTTTTCTTCTTTATCATATTCTTCTTCCTCTTCTCTATCCTTTTTCTTCTTCTTTTTGTCATTCTTCTTCTTCGTCTTCAGTAAGATCTAGACTGTCAGACATTAGAAACGTTGCAGACTACACCTTTAAGAGTGAATCTGTGCCATGAGGCCATCCTGCTTGTTTTCCAGCTCCTCTCACCCCTTATCCCCGTAGCATTTACACACACGCTGCTCACTACCTCATTATTATCCCAAACCCCGCCCACTCAAACACACTCCGACAAACACAAACACCCCAGAGTCCAAATCAGTCCCTTCGCTCCCTCTCTCCTTGGAGCGCAGTCTCTGGTTTCCATCGCTGTGTTAATAACCCGTTAGCGTTAGTGTGTGTGTTAATTACCTGTAAACGTCTGTCTGGCTTGGCGACTCTAATCAGCAGTCACTCTCCTCTCACTGCTCATTATTTTCCTCTTAGAAACTGTAAGGAGAGGGAGAGGAAGGTAAACAAGGGACAGGAGTTCAACAAGGCCGATTGTCATGCTAAATAAAGAGAATTAACACTCAAAGTTGATGTGAAAAGTTATAAAAATTCTGTATCTTGACTTCTAATCAACAAATCGCCTCTTTTTTTTAGAGAGACGTAGCCGGTGACGCCTCAGAGTCGGCCCTGCTGAAATGTATCGAGCTGTGCTGTGGATCGGTCCAGGAAATGCGCGAGAAAAACTCCAAAATATCTGAGATCCCGTTTAACTCCACCAACAAGTACCAGGTATACAAAGAGGAGATCTGTTTCTGCCTAATATCAGTATTTGTGTGTTTCTAGATGCAAATTTCAGCGTGAGACATTTCTGATTCTGTGTTTGTAGCTTTCCATTCACAAAAACGGGAACCCTGAAGCAGAGTCCAAGCACCTCCTGGTGATGAAGGGAGCGCCGGAGAGGATTCTCGACCGCTGCTCCTCCATCATGATACAAGGCAAAGAGCAGCCTCTGGACGACGAAATGAAAGATGCTTTCCAGAATGCGTACCTGGAGCTCGGAGGTCTTGGAGAGAGAGTGCTGGGTAAGGATGGACGGCTGCTTTAAGATGAGACGGGTGAAACCTCGCTGAAAGTTGGATGTTCTGATTCTCCTCGCTCTGTCTCGATCCAGGTTTCTGCCACTTCAACTTACCCGACGAGCAGTTCCCAGAGGGCTTCGCTTTCGACACTGACGAGGTGAACTTCCCGACTGAGAACCTGTGCTTCATCGGCCTCATGTCCATGATCGACCCTCCTCGAGCCGCCGTGCCGGACGCCGTCGGCAAATGCAGGAGCGCCGGAATCAAGGTAGAACCGCTTTTTCGTACAGAATCGATATTTTAAAACACAAGTAAAACTGTTCTTTTAGTGAGCGGATTTTGCTTTCTGCTAGGTCATCATGGTAACAGGTGATCATCCAATCACAGCCAAGGCCATCGCGAAAGGTGTGGGCATCATCTCCGAGGGCAACGAGACTGTTGAGGACATTGCTGCACGTCTGAACATCCCAGTCAATGAAGTTAACCCACGGTACGACTCCAGTATTAGGAGTTTGTTCAAAAGCCGGCTCTTCTTGGAGTACCCCAAGGCGACATCCTGGGTCCCCTTTAGTTTTAGATTTGTTCGATCTAGATGTTTTACCCCCAGTTTCCACCGCATCCGGAAAGGCTACGAAAAGGCCGTATCCGCCGCTCGTAGCTGATTGTAACCATTCATGTTAATGCGTCCAGTTCCACCGGCTTCTTTACGTTCCGCTGCAGATCGCCAGATTTTGCAGCCGATCCCAAGAGTTCTATTTTTTCCGGGCGCCAGAGCGTGCCGGATAAATTCAGCACAGATTAACCCGTGCTGGAAAGGAAGTCGGGCACAGACACAAAATAAAACATCCAGCTTCTTTTCAAAATAAAACGCTCCATGTTTCAGGCGGAAGTGAAAGGTTTATAGACACCTTTTCACCCTGATGACACCATGGGTGAGGAGATGCTGATTCTAGAAGTCTAGAAGTAGATTTCCTCCTCTGGAAGGACACAATCTACTGCTTATATGTCTATATGGCTGTATCGCGCGATTGCACGTGAATCTGCGGGTTCTAGTGAGTTCTCACGATTACCAGTATCCGTAATCCGCCATGAAATTTGCCTCACCAACAGATCCAGTAAGAATTGGCGGATGGTGAAAATCGCCGCTGTACCGGATGGGTGAAAATTGGGGGTTGCTCTTTAACGCTCATGAAAATATTCCTCTGCGAAATTCCTCTCTTAAACCCACCCTCGTGTCTTTGTATTCCCTCCAGAGATGCCAAGGCCTGCGTCGTCCACGGCGGAGATCTCAAAGACCTGACCCCTGAGCAGCTTGACGACATCCTGAAGTACCACACCGAGATCGTCTTCGCCCGAACCTCTCCTCAGCAGAAGCTGATCATCGTGGAGGGCTGCCAGAGACAGGTAGAGCACAAAATAAAAACAAGATGCAGAGGTGTTTTTGTGTGTGTCAGGGAGAAGATGTTCCAGCTATCACGAGCCTCTGTGGTGTTCGAACTGCTGCACTGTTTTACAGTTTGGCGAACGCAGCATGTTCCTGCGCCTTCTTATGTAAATCCAAGAGTGAATATTTTACATTCTCCTCCCCTGATGAGTATTTATGATTATTGCTTTGCTCTGATGACTGAGTTGGCAGAATAATCAAGCCGAGCATCTGTCATGCTGCGACCCCAACGGTTCATGAATATTCACGAGTGCAGCAGTAGGCAGAGAGGGAACTTTTTTTTTCATTTTGTGTAGGATTGGTTTTGAATTTATTTAGAAGTTTGGACACTGAGTCAAAACTGGGAAGTAATGTCAGCACGTCCTCTGATTATCTTCAAAAGCAGACTCTCACATTTCTGCCCAGATGACGAGCTCTGTCGCTCCTCCGCTTTCATCCCGTTTCTCTGTTCTGCGAATCGCCCCGAAACCTTTTTGAAAAATGAAGCTTTTCTCCCTCTCTCTCTCTCGCTGCAGGAAATTACGCTTCAAAAAAATCAAATGTCACTCTCAGGCATGAAAGGAAGCGACACCTGTTTCACTCTGACTTCTTAGTTTTAATATCAGCCGTCTTCTTTCCTCAGGGAGCCATTGTAGCTGTAACAGGTGACGGTGTGAACGACTCTCCCGCTCTGAAGAAGGCTGACATCGGTGTTGCCATGGGTATCGCCGGATCTGACGTCTCCAAGCAGGCGGCTGACATGATCCTGCTGGACGACAACTTTGCCTCCATCGTTACTGGAGTGGAAGAAGGTAAGACCTGAACCTGCAGAGTTGTGGAAGCAGAAACCACAAAAAGCATCATGTAACTGGATTTCCTCTCTTTTCTAGGCCGTCTGATCTTTGACAACTTGAAGAAGTCCATCGCCTACACCCTGACCAGTAACATCCCTGAGATCACTCCCTTCCTGCTCTTCATCATCGTCAACATCCCGTTGCCTCTGGGAACTGTCACCATCCTCTGTATCGACCTGGGAACTGACATGGTAAAGATACGTCTTAATTAGAAACCAGAAGAAGAAGCTTGAGCTGAAAGTCACAGATTAACATGGTAGCATGTTGATCCAAAACACCGCCTTACACATGTGTTGAGGTCTGGACTTTGACTAGAGCATGCTAGCCTTTATTTAACCAGTAAAATCACATTGAGACGAGTCTCTTTTGCAAGTGCATTATTGTTAATGTTATTGTCATAATTGTAAATATTATTATTAATGTTATTATTATTTTTATTATTATTATTTTTTTGTTAATATTATAATTAATGTTATCAGTATTATTTTTGGTATTATTATTTTTATCATTATTATTATTATTATTGTTATTTTTTTAATTATTATTATTATTATTATTGTTAATATTATAATTAATGTTATCATTATTATTTTTATTATTATTTTTATCATTATTATTATTATTATTATTTTGTTATTATTATTTTTATCATTATTATTATTATTATTATTATTATTATTGTTGTTGTTGTTGTTAATATTATAATTAATGTTATTATTATTTTTGTTATTATAATTAATATTTGTATTATTTTTTATTATTATTACCATTATTATTATTATTATTATTATTATTATTATTATTATTATCATTATATTTGTATTATTATTATCATTATTATTACTATAATTATTATCATCATTTTTCTGTTATTATTATTATTATTATTATTATCACCATTTATAAATCATACATTTAAATATCATTAGCAATGTGAGTTAATCATGCCTTTTTTTATCTAAATCTTTTTTTTCTTTTGTTTTGAGTTAATTGTGTTTTTAAAGTTGTTAGAAAGTTGTTCTTCTCTGCGTCTCCTTTCAGGTCCCTGCCATCTCCCTGGCCTACGAAGCAGCTGAGAGCGACATCATGAAGAGACAGCCCAGAAACCCCAAAACAGACAAACTGGTGAACGAGAGGCTGATCAGCATAGCCTACGGACAGATCGGTGAGTAACACCAACCAGAACCAGGAACCAATACCACCCGTGTCTCCTTTTGTTGGATTCCTCTGGAGGTCTGTACCCGGGTGGTCCCAGATAACAAGAAGAGAGGCACGCACCAGAAATAGTCTGATACTGATAGAGGACTGGAGAGTGTGTGTTTGTGTGTGTGTGTGAGTGATGACAGAGCGGAGATCTCTGGCTTTCGATTTTCCCCTCTTCGGTCATGAACCAGGAATAACCCGACGCTGTAGGACTTTCTGAACCACCTTATAAGAGCAGAAAACAAGACAAGACATCTGAGCACGCTGATGATACGCCTTTAAATTCAAATGCTCAATTTTTCAGCATTTTGACCATAAGAAATAGAAAAATTAGCTCCTCTTCCTTAACGCACAGAAGTAAACTTGATACTCTCTAATGATTACAACAAGAAAAGTGCGATATTTTTGTTTCGATTTTGATCAATTTGGCATCAATATCCTAAACCCAGTACCTCCAAATTATTAGAGTCTCACAAAAAACGTTTAAAAAGTCCAACCTGTGACGTTTATATACATGCTAAGTCCTGAATAAACAGAAAAATGCAGCTTTTGTATTGGAACTGTCCTCTCGTATTTTGAGATGCACCTGTGTCGCGTTTCATGAAGGGAAACTGTATCTTGACGGGATGTTTACACCATAAAAACGTCAATGATTAATCGCCTTCAAAACCCTTTTTCATTTTCCATAAGCGTATAATTCCTCCTCCGACGATGACAGCCTGATCTCATTTATTTATTTGTCTCATTATTTATCAAACCATTCCTCAGAAAGACACACTAATTAATCTCATTTCCCCCAAAGACCACAGAGCCGATTTGCTTGCTTAATTATTTATTGATTCCTGGTTTTATATCAAATACTAAACACACTCATCAACCACATCTCCTCATTCAGCAGTCTTTGGATCCAAACGATGACTCATTTCAGACCGGCTCTGATTCTTCCTCTCCTGCAGGTATGATCCAAGCGCTGGCGGGTTTCTTCACCTATTTCGTGATCTTGGCTGAAAACGGCTTCCTGCCCACCACCCTGATCGGCATCAGAGTTTCCTGGGACAACAAATATTGCAACGATCTGGAGGACAGTTATGGACAGCAGTGGGTCAGTGATGTTTCAGAGCGTTAAAGAACAAAATAAAAGTCCTGAATCCGGTTTGTAATCATTTCCTTTCTCCGATCTAGACGTACGAGCAGAGGAAGATCATCGAGTTCACCTGCCACACGGCTTTCTTCGTCAGCATCGTCATCGTGCAGTGGGCCGATCTGATCATCTGTAAGACCAGGAGGAACTCTGTCTTCCAGCAGGGCATGAAGTAAGCACAATAAAACCCTCCAGCTCTTTAAAGCTTAAACAACCTCAGACGTAAACGTTTCATCAGAAATGACTCCTTCCAGCTGCCAGTTTGGATGTCACGCCTCCTCCTCCGTATTGTTGTTGCTGTTCTGTTTCTGGAGGATAAACTCCAGCGAAGGGTTCATGTTTATTTTGGCGTTCTGGATGGAAATCCTTTTTTCCAGTAGCTTAAAATAGTTCCTCCGGCTCTTAATTTGGTGTAAATTCTTCCTTGTGTGTCTCAGGAACAAGATCCTGATCTTCGGCCTGTTTGAGGAGACCGCTCTGGCTGCCTTCCTCTCCTACTGCCCTGGGATGGACGTCGCCCTCCGAATGTACCCTCTCAAGTGAGTCCTGAGCTTCTGTCGCTTTAAGAGAGTTAGTTCAGGCAGGTAACAGAGTCCAGATCAGCTGACAGCCCCTCACGCTCTGGTTAAGAGTGGAGGACTGTTTTTAAAAAAAAATGTAAATTCACTCTTTTCAAGTTAAAATCTTCGTTTTTTCAAAGATTTACCGTATTTTTTCCATTATAAGGCGCACTTAAAATGACATGACTAACCGTAGCCTCGCGGAGTTATTGAACGAGTTAAATAAAGTTTGACTTATCTGACTGTTTTGTTTGGATTAATGCGCCTTATGTATGAAAATAGATGCGAATAGACGCGTTCATTGATGGTGCGCCTTAAAATCAGGTGCGCCCTATACTGCGAAAAATACGATAGTGACGTCTGTTGTTACATGCTCCTTTCCCCTCTTCTCAGGATTTGTATCTGCTTAAAAAGACAAGATTATTGATGTCTGCTTTGTTTTAATTTGTATTTAATCGTTTTTATACTCTGTCATTTGTTTCTGAAGTCGACTCTCTAATCCAGCGAACATGTTGCTCAGTGCGGCCCGAGGGCCCAGTATCAGTTTCTCGTCTCTTCTTCTGTGTTTTTGTGTGTTTTCCAGGCCCAACTGGTGGTTCTGCGCCTTCCCTTACTCCCTGCTCATCTTTATCTATGATGAAATCCGTAAGCTGATCCTCAGACGCAGCCCAGGAGGTGAGTCCGCGATCCAAGCTCTTGTTATCTTCTCCTCCTGCTCTGTTGTTTCTTTCCTCCCTCTCTGTTTCAGCTGTTGTTGTTTTTTCTCTTTAATCTCTTTTATCCTTCTTTCTCTTTGCACTCTTTCAAATGAAAACCCAATTTAATTCTGTGTTTGTTTGTTTTTTTTCTCCTCTCAGGATGGGTGGAACGGGAGACCTACTATTAAACGACCCGTCAGTCCAGTCAGCTCGCATCTTCTCCTCCACTCCCGTCTTTGCATGAATATTGTCTTGCTGCTCGGAATAAAAATTTTAACCTCCTGTGAAAAAAAAAAAGAAGAAAACTATTGGAACGTGTTTTTATATTAGGGAATGCTTGATACTACTATTAGACAAATACTGAGATGGAACGTGCTGATGATGATGATGATGTTGATAAATGATAATGCTAATAATGAAATGAACACTGAACAATGACATGACTATGCGTGCCTTGTTTCTGAAACAGGACCAATTTTATACATGTTTTTAACAGTTATAAACGTCAATAAAATGCGCTCGAGTCAGGTCCCACAAACGAGTCCTCTGCTCATTTTTCTGTGTGTCTGTGTGATATTCGCTTGAGTACAAGAAGTTGACAGGATTATTTAGAATAAATAAATGTGAAGGTAAGCATTGTAAATTATGGTATTGATTTGGTTACTTGATCACCAAAAAATTAGAATATAAGATCATGATTTTGAGATAAGAAAGTCAAATTGTAAGACAGAAACTCAAAATTTATAGAAAGTAAGTTGAAATAGAGATAAAAAATGTAAGATTGTCAAAAGTTTAAGAGTCAATAAAGGGTTAAAAGGTCAAAACTCGTGCCAAAGAAACTCTAGATTATGTGGTAGTAAGTCAATATAGATTTAAAATTCAAAAGCTGTTAAAAACCGCTTCCTGACCCAAGGTGCGCACATACCTGCGATGACGTTGCACAGAAACCCGTCTATATCTCATTTATTCTGGTTTTATATTGTAGAGTTACGAATTTTATCTCACAATTGTTACTTTTTTGTCACGATTGGGACTTTTCATATCTCTTTATCTCTCTTTTTATATTCAATTTTTGTTCTCATCAATTAATATTTTAAATATTTTATTCTACATAGCCAAGTCTCCAATTTTTTTTTTAAAGGCAGCAATAAGCTTCCATACAGTGCAAGATAATTGGCTCCTCCGGGAAACCGGGCTTTTTATTAACTTAAGTTCATACCAATAGTTTCTTTATTTTGATGCTTTCACTCAAAAGAGTTTAAGTTCACTGCACTATCACAACATGAAATCTGGGGACCGAAAACCGGAAGTTGCTCATGGACATTATGGATCGACTACTTCTGCCTGGATACGAATCGGCTTCCTCGCATATCCTCACCAACGTAGCTCCAAAACAAAGATGGGAGCCGTTAGCGCGGATGACAACAAAGAAAGTAATGCTCGACTCAAAAAATGAAGGTAATGTGTGATTATTTTTGATTGATATGAGTAATAGAAGGGGTTTTCTGCTCTCAGTGTCGTATTATGCACATTTGTAAACAAAAGGCTGCCATCTTTGCTACGTTGTGGTCAGATGACCTATAGTGATCCAATCAGAAGGCAGGATTTGCCGTTTCCGCAAAACAGTGAAGGAAAATAAAACTTTAAATAGATTTAATGCAGAAAACCTGTTTGATGACTAAAATTAGATAGGGAAATCGTAAAAATACAACTGCTGGTGCTTAAAAATTATCAAAAATTCCAAATTGTAAAATATATTTTTTAAAAACTCTATTCCCTCTTTTTTTTTTTTTTTTTTTTTTTTTTAAATGAAGAAACATTCACTTCGTGTTTTAGGGGAAAACTTACGGTGGCCAAGAACTGCCACTGCTGCAAATAAAAAAAGAATGCAAAAAAAAAAGAAGTCACAATGGAAGTTACTGATGATGAATAAAAAAAGAAAAGAAACCGAAGCCTGCTGCAAAAAAAAAAAAATGGTGCAGAACAAAAAAAAAAAGAAAATGTGGTGATGCAAAAAAAAAAAAAATGCAAAAATAAAAGAATGCAAATTAAAATAGCAAGCAGCTCCCCGGCATCTCACCTGCGTTGTGCCTTTTTTTTTTTTTTTTGCATCTTTTTATTTTCCCTGAAAGTGTCTTTTTTTTCCAATGCCACTTTTTTTTTTTTTTTTGCATTGTTAACTTTTATTGTGGTTTTTTTATCTGCGCCATTTCTTTTGTTATTATTTGAAATGGGCTTTGGTTTCTTTCTTTTTGCATCAGTAACTTCTGTTGTGACTTCTTTTTTTTTTTTGCATTTTTTTTTATCCGCACCATTTCTTTTTTTATTTGCAGCAGGCTTTGTTTTTGTTTTTTTTGTTTTGTTTTTTTGCATCAATAACTTCCGTTTCGACTTCTTATTTTTTTTCTTTTCAGCAGTGGCGGTTCTCGGCCACCGTAAAAACTAAGGGGAAAGCTTAACAATAGGTCGTTAAAAAAATTTAACTGACCCAAATTTGTCCAAAATGAAAAGTGCTAAAACATGGAAAAAATAAATAAATAAATAAAAACTAGTTGTAATTTACTTTAATCAGCTCAGCGTGGGCTGTCTTGTTTCATCGGCTTATTTAGGTGTTGAAGCAACAGAAAAAGTAAATAAAACTACAACTTTACCAAGACAGATGGAACAACAGTGTTTTCTAACCTCACACAATCCTCGCAGAAGCTCTCAGTCTCCGAGCCGCTGAGGCCACGGTGGGTGTTTAGTTTACCAAGAGGCACTTGGACACCTAATTCAATATCCATTATTCTTAAAGCTGGGAGTTTGAGGCAGCTACTGTGTGAGGTCTCTTGTCTCCCACACACTGCGAGCTGAGTCTTGACATGCAAACACAGAGGAGGAGATTTTTGAGAGTTTAAGCAAAGAGGACGAGGAGCATCCTCCTACCTTAGAATGCACAGTTGGAACAAATAGAGAAAGAAACCTGAATCATAACAGGTTTGTAATTTCTCTGCTGGGAAACAAACAGAAAAACATAATTAGGACCCCAGTATGCATCACAGAGCCCAATGGGAACCCTGAGGACTATTATTCTTTCATCAGCCTATGTGATTGCTTATTTGGGGGTCTTAAAATGTCCCAAAACTCATTAAAAGTTGCACATGCATCAGGCCTTGATTATGTTGTCATTTTATGAGTTTTGCAAAACCATCTGCTTAATCATGCGTCTAATAGTACCCTTAAAATCCAGCCTCTTGAGTGGGTCCAAACGACAAGGCAAACGCACAAAAAATTGGAGCGAGGGCTGGGCGATATGGGAAAAAGGTTATCATGATATATTTTTTTCATATCAGTCGATATCGATAAATATCACAAAATATGAAAAATGAAATTTAACAGTGATTATTGGTCGCATGTCTTTTGCGATGCAATAAGCTACTGCGTCTGTGAGGTCTTTGTGTCTCTATGACGTTTTGTCGTAAGGCGTTGTGCTAGAGAAAACGGACTAATTGGTCGGCTGTCTCGGCTGCACAGGCGCCATGAGCTCCTTGCTCCGCTCATGGTTTGTAACCTTTTGCATCACGCGTGCTCTGCCGCCTGTCACTGCTTCAGGTGGTGAAAAAGATTTGAGGTATTCCCCGATTTTGCGAGAACATGTACTCGACATAATTTGCAGTGCAGATAACTCTGCTTCATGTCTGACCTAAAAAAAACGAAATACCTCCACACCACCACAGTTTTCGTGCCAGTGTTGTCAACAATGTCATCTTTTTATCTTTTTTTTCCTCACCTACAGTGCCGTCGGCTTCACGTGTTAAAGTGATGTGTTTGCGTGTAGCTGCAGTCTGCTACTACGCACTTGTTTGCTTCTTTGTTCTAATACAGCACATGATATATAGTATAGTCAACCAAAACATGGCGGAATGCTGACTATCGAAAAGCATATTGACCAAGTTTTATATCGATATCAAGGGAAGTTAATTTTTGATAAATATCATTATTGTTTTATCACCCAGCCCTAATGTATGCTGACAGATACAAATGTTGAGGCGCAATCTTGCTGTTTGTGGCTTTAAATGAATGTATTTGATATTCAGAAAATGTTAGTTATCAACGTTCATGTCTTGTTGGGTCGCTACATCTAGAAATGTATCCGAACAGGCCCTTTCAAACTGGAATAACTTCTTTAAATACACACATACGCACTCTGACATACTGTTGGTGGCACAGAGCGACAGGGACAGACTGTGAGGCATTGTGTTGTGTTTCTGTGTCAGTGAACACTTCAGCTCTGTCAAGATATGGCACGTCTCCCCGCTGACCCCCGTGACAGCTCGGCATCTCTGATCTCCGCCGAGCGTCCGTGTGTGTATACTCTTCGGGGCATGCGATTGCGTGCTGACAATGCAACGTTGACTGAGCTCTCGGCCTCAGAGGATCCTCTGTGTTCATTGATGGTTATTGTGTGGTGACAGATGTCATAAGAGAAACCTCCAAACTTCTAGATGACCAAATTTCATCCAGACTTTACCCTGATTTTTTCCTGATGCAAAGACTAAAGAAGCTGTTGCTCGCCTGTGCTCATCCTTCCAGACAGTGCGGCTCATTGTGGAGTCGTCTCTGCTGCTCCAGTATCTGCTCTCTGTTCTGACGGAGATAAAACTGTCTCCTCTCCTTATAAAGCCATGATGTGGCAGAGTGAGGCGCACACACTCAGGAGCAGACACACTCAGCCGTGTATCAAACTCCTGCCCGTGTGCACCATTGTGACAAGTTTCTGCAAATAATTCATGTCGTCTCTCAAACTCCGACTTAATCAGGATGAGGAACTTATTTTACTGCGCAGGTTCCTGATTGCTCTGCAGACTGGAGCTAACCAAGTGTAGTGTGTTTGCTCTGTAAATAAGCAGTCATCATCTCAGTGGAGTAAACTGATATGGCAGGAACCAGCGAAGCAGATGGCGGCAGTCACATATTAGCCCATGTAAAATGCCTTTTAGCATCGTTGTTCCAAAGAAACCCCGGGTCCACACGTCGCCTCCTTTTTTTTTTCTCCCCCAAGCTGTTACTGAGTTTGAGTCGCATGTGCGGGAGGTGTTAAGATGACTCGAGTGACTACACAAAATCAAGACTTGTTGAGGAGTTAGTGGGAAACTTGCCCGGGATATGGAGACGTTCAGGAGCACACTGTCAGGCGGGAATGAGCAGAAAAAAGAGGCTAAAGAGGTTTTTATGAGTTTATGGGCCTCATGGTCGGTGTAGCTTTGGGCTGATTCTTGTTCTAACTGCTCCCTGACATTTCTAAAAGGAGCCAATGAGCCAGAAAATTCATCCAAGAAGCCACTTGTTCCTGTTTCACTCTTCGTGCGACACTAAGAGTGTGTGTTTCAGTGTGTGTGTGTTTCTGCTTTGTTATTCACTTCAGTCTCCCGAGGGTTGAATTGAGTCCCTCTAACGTTTTCCCCTTTTTTCATCCTCTTCTTTTTCCCTCTCTCCATCCGTCTCAGTAAGGAGCAGGAGGCGGCCCTCGGGCACAAGTTATTTCTTAGGCAACAGCAGCTGTCTACTCCCAAGTAAAACGCA